TTTTTAAGAGCTGAATACTCTCCTATTAAATGGCATGGTTTATCCAGTCACCATTTGATGGCCATTTGGATTGCTTCCAGTTTGGAGCTGTTATGAACAATGCTGCTATGAACATTCCTGTTTATGTCTTTGTATGAGTATATATATAGACCTATACTGGAATTGCTGGGTTGAATGTTAAATTGATGTTCAACTTTCCAAGAAACTATTTTTCCCAAGTGATTGGAAGATTTCACACCCCTAACAACAATAGATAAGGGTTCCAACTTAGCCACATTCTTGTCAACACTTGGTATTCTGTCTTTTTGTATTACAGTCAACCTTGTGGGAATATAGTCTTGTTTGGTTAGCAATGGGGATAAGTTCTGAGAAATGCATTGTTATTCAATTCCAACCTTGTGCAAAGGTCATAATTTGTAATTATGCAAACCTAGATGGTATAACCTACTATACACCTAAGCTATATGATACAGCCTATTGGGACCATCATTGTATATGCAGTCTGTTGTTGATACCAATATTGTTAGGCTATGTATGACCATAGAGGTATCTCACTGTAGTTTCAATTTGCATTTCCCTAAACAGTAATGACCTTGAACACCATTCATATGCTTATCAGCCATTATCATCTTTGTTTGATGAAATGCCTATTCAAATCTTTTATCCATTTTAATTTTTTTAGCTGGAATCATTTTTTTAAAAAGATTTATTTATTTATGCATATAATAACCGGGGTACAGGCCAGAGATGCAGGGGAGGGGGTGAGAGGATTCACCAGAGACAGAGCGGGGAGCAGAACAGGCAGCCTGACTGAAATATGCTGCTGAGGGGAACAGCTGGTGAGACAGGCGAGGTCTGCTGTGCCATGTGTGTTGCTCCCTGGCTGGGGATTGAACTCGTGCTGCAGTGGCTGCTGATAACTTCATAGTGCTGTGACTTAACCCCTTGTGCCAAAAGGCCCCACAAATATTAAATCACTTTTAATATTTAAATACAAAAAATAAGCACTGACTTTTTTCCTTTAGACACAACACAGGTCTAATAGTCAAAATACATAGAGGAAATGAGCTTCTGCTCTGTCTTCCACAGTCTCCCCTCTTGTGGTTAAAACTGCTGCTGTTTCACCCTGCTTTGCAACATACACAGAAATTCACAGTGACTGCTTTACACTATAGCTGTAATGCATTTTTATATTTCATATTCTGTGCTCATCCCTCAAACATCTCCATCTTAAGAACAAAACAGTTGCTGATGGCTAGGGGTGCATTTATCCCAGTGGAATCTGCATACCCCACAATGAGATAAGAGGATATATTCTGATCAAGAGTAATTCAGTGAAAGGAGTAGGGCAATTATGTTTGTAGTATTCATCTGTATTGGAGGACATAGCTGCCAAGTTGGGAGTCTTTCCACAAGGCAATATGGGTAGAAATTTTCCCAACAGGTTTAGATAGATCAATGTGTCAAATTTTTTTTAAAAAAATGCAAACAATCAGCAGTTCAAACACTTTTAACTTTTCAAACTTCTTCCACTAAGATAGTGGAATACAGCAGTAATAATCTAGATCTTCCAGGAAGTGAAGACAGAACTCGTGGTATTCCTCCTTATCCTCTGTTAGGCCCTATGAGTATTTACCACTACTGTTACTCCATTTGCAACTTCTCAGCCACAAAGACAACAGGAAAAACCAGGACCATGAAGGAAGTAGTCCCAATCCACAGACTATGCTAGAGACTGGTTCACCCCAAGGCTGGTGGTAGTAGTAGTAATTTTGGCTGTACGCCTTTTCTTATCTGCTTTAAAGTTGGATCATTTAATTTTTTACCATAGGTTGTAAGAGTTATTTATATGTTCTAAATGTAAGTCTTTCATTAGACAGATAATTTGAAAATATACTCTCTTGTTCTAGCTTGTCTTTTTATTTTCTTAATGGTGTCTGTTGAAGAGCAAGTTTTAAATATTTATATAAAGTCAAACTTAATTTTTTTCTTGAAAAAAGGCACATTTATTCAGCATCATGATCAGACTATTACATTTAGCAATCAGTGGCATGGATTCCAACAAATTATCTGCATTGAAATCTTTTGTTGCTTTACACTTTCCACAACAGAAACTAAAACAACTTGTTACACAATTAGTCACAAATACTGTCCTCAGATTTATTGCACATACATATGAGTATTGTCTAAAATACGTCTTCATTGTAGCAGGTAGGCCCTGCCACCACTGTGCTTGGCTGAGTTCACAAATATGTTGCAATCTGTAACTTTTACTTTTCCAGCTCTCTAATCCTATGCTTTGTTTCCTGGCATTAGTTAAAACCTTCTACCACTGCCATAGCTATTGCTGCTGTGTGCAGCACCATAGTCACGTTGGTTTCATGGTTTGGTGAAGTATTGGCCTCCTCCACCACCATAGGAGTCTGAGCTTCTGCCTCAAAAGTTCCCTCCTTTCATAGGCACACAATTTGAAGATTTATTGCTGTTAATTGCCAAAATCATTGCAGCTTCCACCACGTCCAAAATTGTTTCCGTCATTACCAAATCCATTATGCCCTCCCCATACTACCACATCCACCACTACCATGGTTGCCACAAAAGCCACCTGGAACGTGAAGTTCCTCCATGGCCAAAATCGCTATTCCCATCAAATCACTTCCACCGCCACCACAATTTTCCAAGATCATTTTGACCTCTTTGGCTGGATGAAGCACTGGCTATCTCTTGCTCAGATAGTGCTTTCCTTACTTCACAGTTGTGGCCATTTATAGTATGGTATTTCTGAATGACAATCTTGTCCACAGAATCATGGTCATCAAAGGTTGCAAAAACAAAGTATCTCTTTTTTTTAAAAAAAAAAAGATTTATTTATTTATACAAGTACTGGGTACAGTCAGAAGCGTGGAAGGGTGAGAGAATTCACCAGAGCCAGAGGGTAGAGCGGAGCAGGCAGATTTACTGAAATACACTGCTGAGGGGAGCAGCGGGCAGCAGGAGAGGTCTGCGCGCCATGTGGGACCCTCGCCGGTGGCCAGGGATTGAACTGGTGCTGCAGAGGCAGCTTCGCAGCCTCAACCGCTGCGCCACGAGGGGAGGCCCAACAAAGTCTCTCTTCTTGTCACTGCCACATTCAGTTATGATTTTGATCACTTCAATTTTCCCATACTACTCAAAATAATCTCTTAGGTGAGGTTCTTCAGTGTCTTCTTTAATGCCAACAATAAAAATCTTTTTCACAATTAAGTGAGCACAGGGTCTTTGAGAATCTTCTCATAACACAGCCCTCTTTTGTTCCACAACTCTTCATCCACCTTGTGAAGCTTTGCCTTCATGGCTTCATGCCTTCATGGTGACACCCACCTCCTCCAGTGTGGCATAACTGACAAACTCAAAGTCTCTGGATCGTTTGGTGTATGGATCTCTTATTATCACACAGTCTGTGAGCAATCCATTGTATAGATATCAGCACCTCCTTCCCCGCCCCAACACACACAAAAACCATTATTTACAATAGCCAGCAAATGGAAACACAGAAAGCCCAGTGTCAATCAAGGGATGAATAAGGAAAATGGTGTATTAATCATAAAAAGAAGGAAATCCTGCCACTTGTGACAACATGCACAGTATTTAAAGGCATTAATGCTAAGTGAAATAATTCAGACACGGAAAGACAAAAACTGTATGATTTCAGTTATATAAATCTTTAAAAAAAAAAAAAAAGGATGTTAAAATTGTACTTGTTATTTGATTGGATGTTAGTGGATTTTCCTAAAAGGAAAAACGACATTTCAAAATTCACACTTATTGAGACTTATATTTTTCCTTTCTTAATCAGTTGACATAATGTAACAGTGAATAAATTTTATTCCTAACCTGTGGCTCTGTAGTCCATACATACCATCAGTGTCCCTGTCAAATGCTTGGTGGATGCGGCAAAAAGAGGAATAGAAATTTCAAATGTCTGAGAAATTCATCTTTTGTAGAACACAACTCAAAAGACTTACTTTTCTCGTGAAGTTGGGTGTGTGTGTGTGGGGGGGGGTTTATTATTAGTGTGTGGGGGGGTGGGCTTATTAGTAAATGGTGTGTATGGGGGTTAGGGGGTTATTAGATAGCCGATGTGTGTGTGGCTTATTATTAGATAGCCAATAAATAAATATCTAGTTATAGAATAAGAGTAAATGAATGCAAATAGATCGTTCCTAGAGAAGCGACTCCTCAGTTTGGTCTCTGAATCGTCAAAAATTTTTCCCTTCATTTAATCATAGAATATTAATTAAACTCAAGACAAAAACCACTCTTCCTTGAAATACTTTCTTCATCTGGCTTTCGATGAAGTAACACTTCTCTTTACTGCCATTTGTTCTCAGACTTCCTGTCATTTATTCAGCAATGTTGTGTGACCTCGAGAATGTAAAGTTTCGGAACCTCGCCTTTGTGAAAGACGTTTTAACAATAGTCATCGCTCACTCAATGCAAGTTCTTACATAGTTCACTGCAATTAACTACCACAAAGCACGGCAGTTTGGCGCTTGCGCCTCTGAGGTAAACCCACCACATCTCGGAAGCAGGAGAGCAGCTTCGGGAATGCAGGCAAGAAGAACTGAGCAACGCTCTCCACGTCCGGGGCCAGGGTGGCAATCCGTGGGGCGCACCCTAAAACCTCGCGTAGTTGAGCCCAGACATCGTGCTGACAAGGAAGTCAATTAGTCCAGGCCAGGGACCCGCCTCCTTCAGGAATGCGAAACCGCGACTACGGTCCCTTCCGGCTTGGCGCACGTAGCCTTACGTTTCCAACTGCACTTTCGCTAAAACTGTGGAGTATTTCCCTCTGAAATTTCCAAGTTTTCTTCATTTACTTCTTTATGACGCTAGTTTAATGTAAAATTAAACCTGGAGGGATTAAAGACAGGAATGTCTGTGGAAAAAAGGAGCAGCTAATCGGATCTGACGAAAGTGCGGAGCAGGAGTCCCGCGCACCCTCTCCTCGCAGGCCGGAAGTTGCGAGCCTGAATGGCTCTGGAGCCGGCGGATGTGTCTCCTTTCTCCACTTGACGCTTGGTCGCCGCTGGGCTGCCAGGTTCATGTGGAGGCTCTCAGGAGCCCGCGCCGCGCTTCGTGGGGTCCGTACGGCGGTGGAACGGCACAGCCGGACGGAGGCGGCAGCTGAGACGGCGGCCGGCGCGATGGAGCGGGCTGTGGTGCGCTGTGTGCCCTCGGAGCCCAAGCTCAGCCTGTCGTTCGCGTTGGCCGACGGCAGCCACAAGAACATGCAGCGTGACCAGAGCGAGCCGCTGGGTCGCGCCCTCAGCCGAATCGCTACCAACGCTCTCAAGGGCCACGCTAAGGCGGCCGCCGCCAAAAAGAGCAGGAAGAACCGTCCGAGCGCGAGTGGCGGCGTGGCGTGTGCGGGGCCCGGACCCGAGCCGGGTGCGGCCTGCGAGCCGGTGGTGAAGCTGTACTACCGGGAGGAGGCAGTGGCTGAGGACGTGCTCAACGTGGACGCCTGGCAGGACGGCGCGGTGCTGCAGATAGGCGATGTCAAGTACAAGGTGGAGCGCAACCCTCCCGCCTTTACCGAGCTGCAGTTGCCACGCTACATAATGGCCGGATTCCCGGTGTGCCCCAAGCTCAGCCTAGAGTTTGGGGATCCCTCCAGCTCCCTCTTCCGCTGGTACAGAGAAAACAAACCCCGAGTGGCGGAACCAGAGGGCGGGGGCCCCTCGTCATTTTCTCCGTCTTCGTCCTCTCCTACTTGGATCGAGACTGGTGTGGACCAGCGCGTTTATACCCCGACTAATGCTGACATCGGCCTAAGGCTCAAGTTTCATTGCACCCCAGGCAATGGGCAGCGCTTCGGGCCAAGCAGAGAGTTGGAGAGTTGTCCAGTGGAGGCCGGGCCTGGCACCTGCACCTTTGACCACCGGCATCTGTACACCAAGAAAGTGGCAGATGACGCTCTCATCCGCACTGTCTCCTACAACATCCTTGCGGATACGTACGCACAAACTGAATTCTCGCGGACTGTCCTGTACCCATACTGTGCCCCGTACGCCCTGGAGCTCGACTACCGCCAGAATCTTATCCAGAAAGAACTCACGGGCTACAATGCAGACCTCATCTGTTTGCAAGAGGTTGACCGCAGCGTGTTTACAGACAGCTTGATGCCTGCCCTCGAAGCCTTTGGACTGGAAGGCCTGTTTCGAATCAAGCAGCACGAAGGTTTGGCCACTTTCTACCGAAAGTCCAAGTTCACCCTCCTTAGCCAGCATGACATTTCTTTCCATGAAACCCTGGAGTCTGACCCACTTCACAAAGAACTGCTAGGAAAGCTAGATTTGTACCCTTCCGCAAAAGAGAGGGTGTTACAGAGATCTTCTGTCCTTCAGGTAAAGTAACTCCATCACTCTCTACATACCCATATATTTTTAGGGATCTGGGGGAGAGGAGAGTGCTTGTAATTAACATGAGACAATGAAACAGTTGTAATGAAAGATGATGGCTTTTGTATCTTCAGTCCGAAGTTTTGCTTTCATTGACTCAATGAGCAAATGCTTGGCGAGCACCTTTGGTGTACTACGTTGCAGGTTGCCTTGAACAAAGGCACGGATTCATAGTGCTTACAGTCTCGTGGGAGAGACATAAGGTGAATACAAAAATAATAGCAGTAGGGCCTCCCCGGTGGCGCAGGGTTAAAGTCTAAGTGCTATCAAACTGTCACCAGCCTCTGTGGCATGAGTGGAATAAGTTCGATTCCTGGCCAGGGAGCTGACCCACCTGGCCCAGCAGATGTTTCCCGTCTTGCCCGCTGCTCCCCTCAGCAGTGTATTTCAGTGGATTCACCTGTTCTGCTCCCCACTCTAACTGTGGTGAATCCTCTCACCCCCTGCCCTCTGGCCTACATACACCCCAGTTCCTGTATGCATAAGTAAAAAAAAAAGAATAGAAATAGCTAGTATTTTTTTTTTTTTTTTTTTTTTACTGCTTACCAAGCAAGCACTGCTCTGACACATTTCAAAGTACTTAAAAAATTAAGTGTCTGGCCTGTTTTAGAAGTGCTCCATGAATATTCGTTACTTCAACTTTTGGCCCATAGTAATCCTACTATTTCCGTGTTATAGTCTTCCCTTTTTGTAGTGAAGAAATGGACAAGTTTCCTTATCCAGCTTCACACAAATGCGGGCCAAGAGTCTTACCAAGTTGGTTACACATTCTGTCATCGTATGGTCATTGCCACTTAGCTAAATAAAGCTCCCTTCCTTTTTTTTTTAGACCACTTTTTTTGTGTATTTCATACAACTGTGTGCAAGGTCATTTAATTAAATGTACACAGCAGTCCCTCTTGAGGTGGATGATATACTGCCACTTATTTACTGATGAGAAAACTAACTTGGGAAAAAAGTCTTCCTCTCCAAGCCCCACTGCTGTAAATGTTTGAGTGGGTATTGGTAGGTCTGCCTGACTCCAAAGCCTGTACTTACCCATTTAAAAACACTGTTTCTAGTATGAGTGTTGTTATCTAAAATGTATTCTTTTCATACTACAGTATGTGTTGGACTGTTTTATGCTAAGTCCAAGGCAGAGCATATATAGTATATTCTGAAACTAGCAAATATTAAAAATATTAAAAATATTAAAAATTTAAATTTCATAATTGCAGCCATACTTCATCAGTAGGGGTAAAGTATGGAATAAAATGTCAGTTCCTCATACAGTCTTAAAAAAAAAATCTGGAAGTTGGCAGGTCCCAACCGAACTCAGCATATTCTGTTTATTCTAGGTTTCTGTTCTTCAGTCTACAAAGGATTCTTCGAAAAAGATATGTGTTGCTAATACCCATCTCTACTGGCACCCAAAAGGTAGATATTAATGGTTTTTACAAGTGATTTAAACGTGGTGAATTAGGGCTTCCCCTGGCGGCGCAGCGGTTGAGCGCTGGGCTTTGAGGTTGCCCGGCCGCCGGGGAGGGTCCCACAAAAAAAAAAAAAAAAAAAAACCGTGGTGAATTAAAGTCAGTGAAGCAGTTTTACACAGACATGTATATTCAATAATTTCCTTTTATTTTTATTGCGAGATAATGATTTATAGCACTGTATAAGTTTAAGGTGTACCTAGTGTACATAGTGTTTCCCATCCTTCTGATCTACATAGCATTTGTATGTGACCTAAAATGGAAATAGATTTGTATTTAATGGAATTTAAGTGTGCTTGGGTAGGAAATTTAATATGAATCAATATTTATTGACTTAGATACATTGCAAAATGATTACCACATTTAGTTACTATCCATCACTTCATATAAGTTCCAACAAAAATTTTTTCCCTTGTGATAACTTCCAGGATATACTCTTAGCAGTTTTTAAACACACCAGACAGCAGTATTAACCACATTCATCATGTTGTACATTATCTCCCCACTACTATCTTATAACCGAAAGTTTTAAATCTTTTGACCACCTTCCTGCAGGTTCCTCCCCACCCCCCAAATACCTATCTTGAATGTCACTTAGACACTATAGTTTGTGAGTTTTGTGCGTTTGCTATTTTTAACATAAAGGCACTTTTTAAAATTACTTACATTATTGTATTTTATATTCATAGGTGGGTACATTCGTCTTATTCAAATGGCAATAGCCTTGGCTCATATTAGGCATGTCTCCTGTGATCTGTATCCTGGCATACCAGTTATATTTTGTGGGGACTTTAATAGTACCCCATCAACAGGAATGTATCATTATGTCATCAATGGAAACATACCTGAGGATCATGAAGACTGGGCTTCTAATGGGGAAGAAGAACGATGCAATATGTCTCTTACCCATTTTTTCAAACTGAAAAGTGCTTGTGGTGAACCTGCTTACACAAATTACGTTGGTGGCTTTCATGGATGTTTAGATTACATTTTCATTGACTTAAATGCTTTAGAGGTTGAACAAGTGATTCCATTACCTAGTCATGAAGAAGTTACTACCCACCAGGCCTTACCTAGTGTTTCCCATCCTTCTGATCACATAGCACTTGTATGTGACCTAAAGTGGAAATAGATTTGTATTTAATGGAATTTTTTTTAATTTTTTTTTTTTTGTATTTAATGGAATTTAAGTGTGCTTGGGTATGAAATTTAATATGAATCAAAGCTTACTGTAACCTTCAGAGAAGAAAACTGGACACTAAGTTAAAGTGTTCTTACCCTACTAGTTATTGTCCAGTGTCTTCATTACATGACTGTTCATAATGTTTGCATAATATAGTTTCTCTACCCTTTTTTTCTATACTTGGAAGAAAAACAAATATATTTATGACTAGCAGGAAGAAAATTGAATTATTGTGTATGTTTTATAAGTACTTTTTTTTCAACTAGTAATTACGAATTTTTTTTAAAGTGCCATTTGAATGACCCTATAGTTTTTCTATCATAATACATATTTCAAATTGAATCATGTTTATATAATTAGGGAGAAAGTGCATACAAGCTGTGAGGGGCCTAAGTTCTGACACATGGAATGACATTAGGGTCTACCTCAATTTGGTTAGCAATTTAATACAACTTAAGAGCTTTAACAAAAGATTAAAAATAACATCACAATTATTAATACTTTCATTTTTCAATTAACAGGGGTGTTTTCATTTTTAAGATTTTAGTTTATAGTAAATGGAACAAACGGTCATATTTATATTCTCATTCTTAACTGCAGCTCATTTTGACTTTTAGGATGTAAGCACAATTTATTATTTCCGAGTCAGTGGCAACATAGTCAACTTGATCCCATTGTCTTTAATTACTTTGGTTCATGAAAAATGTTCATAATTCAACATGGTATTTGACCTTATGATATTAGAGAATACAACATAATATGAAATTGCCGACGGACATGGGCTTGAAATTTTCAGTGAACCATTGAGCACTTATATGCTAGAACTATTTTAAAAATTGTTTTTATAAGTAAGAAAAATGAGAGTAGAGGGAGTTTTGAGCATCTGAAATTAAAAAAAAAAACTATTCTTTTATAGACTTGAACATTTTAGTTACAGAAAACATTGTATATATAATTTATATACTATTAAAAAAATTAAGTATGAAGCCAAACTGTCTAACCCATAATGGTAACTGAGCTTTTCTAACTCAGTTACCATCTTCCCTCATTTGTAATGCTTTAGTTGCTGCTTTTTTGGTGTTCAGGATAACTGTAATGCTATCTTATATTTCTCTATTTAATTCTTATCTTAAGTATTAAAAACCCACCCACCTCAAAGAAAGCTCTGATTTTCCCGTCATAAAAGCCTTTGTTCCAAACTCATCTCTGAACCCAGTAAAATAAGAACCTGGCACTTTTGATAAAGTAGCCTGTACTTTAATATTCTGCACACCTATCCAATGTATTAATAATTCTTAGTTCACTAAATTTGAGGATGAGAGCTTTACCTGTATTTCAGATTAAGCCTTGAAGTACTTAAAGTACTTGAAGGGAAAAATTAAGGTGGCAGTCTCCTGGGATCTTGTTCAGAAAACGCTGTAAGTGAAAAATTGATATTACCGAATTGTGCCTTTGTAAGTAGCCTTTTTAGAGCATTTTTACATCAGTTTAAAAATACATAAATAATACAGTAAAACCAGAATCTGATTCTTGAGCAAAATACCTTTTTCCTTTCTAAAAATATGATTTTGATGTGCTTTCAAACATTTTAACAAGACTCTAACAATAACTTCAGAGAAAACAGTTTCTAAGCAAAAATTTGAGACATACACGTGACATACACATGCATATGAGAAAATCATAGGTTTTATATTAACACCATGGTTAGCTAGCTAAATTGAACTCTGTCTGAAACACTTTAAGCACTTATCACACATTCCACATCCAGAATCTTAAAATTTGATATTTACTGACTGAACTATGATCAGATTGCATAGAGGCATTTCAGAATATTGGCTTGTAGAATATTGTGAAGTGCCATATACTCTGGTCAAATCTCCAATATACAGATATGATAGTGTGAACAGAGTCCAAAGGTAGGGAACACTAATAAAATTACATAAATAGCCTACCAAAATTTCCTTGTATTCATTAGTTACAGTACAGTGTTCAGAAATATATGTGTTTAAAACCATCTTTTGATTGAATTTTTCTATTACATTTGAATTTTTTAGGACATTTGATTTTAATAAAATATGGGAAGTCTAGCAACTCTCTATGGTGGACCACAATTATGTTACAAGTTCTTATTGTAGGAATTAACATTCCAAAATTTTGTATTATAAATGACTTAAGAATCTTATAAAACATGTTATCCTGTTAAAACTCTTGCACAGTTGCCACTACAGTAGATGTATATACTGGTAGTTCATTAGCAAAGAAATCATCTGGTCATAATGTGATGTTCTCTGAAACCCCACATACTAAAATCAGTTGTTTACAATTTCAAAGAACTTACTTCGGTGGAAACTTCTGAGAGAACGATAACTTGCTTTCATCAGAATAAGATGGTTTCAGTCTCATTCTGAAGGTATGTAATACGGGGGAGAGAGGGTTCAAAGAACATTACTGTGGGTAGATCTCCCTTTAGATCTCATGTTCTCCCGCTATAAAGTATAGGCAAAAGTGCCCTACAAACTGGTTTAATTAAGACAAAATCAAAGTCTGCATATAATGAAAGGTAAGGGTTTGTGTTATTAATTTATCACAAAACCCACATGACAACTCAATAGGGAAAAGTCTTTCCTCCAAAAAATTATAGCCAACACTAATTTCCTAAACAATTCAAAAACATTTTCCTATTTTGAAATTTGTTTCAATATAGTACTAAAAGGAAACATTGGATTTTACTTTGGGGGAGGAAACAAAAGAGGGTTAACTGGTTTGGGTAATATTCAAATTCTTTGGTCCCACTTTATAAGAAAGTTCATGTCAACAGCAAAATTATTAGAACTGTATTAACTGGGTAATTTTTAACATTAACTTCCAAATAACACTACTACATTCTGAGGTGACAATACCAAAGCACTTTTTAATCAAGGTCTAAGTCACTTAAGATTATCCGTTTTAAAATATATGATCTACAAAGTTATGCATTCATCTTTAGTTCCAAAAAATTTTTATCATCCCAAAAGGTAAAATCATCCCCCAGTCCCTTCACTCCTGCAGCTCCTGGTAACCACTAATCTGCTGCCTTTGTGGATTTACCTATCCTGGATTTACCATCCATTTTATATAAAAGGGATCATACAGTAAATGATCTCTTGTATCTGATTTCTTGGAATAATGCTTTTAAGATCCATCATTGTATGTATCAGTACTTTATTCCTTTGTATGGCTAATATTCCATTGTATGGTTATAACACATTTTATGTATTTAAATGGACTTTGGAGTTGTTTGCACCTTTTGGCTGTTGTGACTAGTGCTGCTATAGAACATTTGTGCACATTTTTAACAACTGTTTCCAGTTCTTTTGGTTAGATATTATTGTTGGGCCATAGAGTAATTCTGCTTAACTTTTTGCCAAAATGTTTTACACAGTGACTGCCCCATTTTACATTCCCAACAGCAGTGTATGAGGGTTTCCAGTTTCTCCACATCCTCACTATTTTATTTGTCATCCAAGTGGGTGTGAAGTGGTATTTCTCCCAGTGTATTTTTAGCTTTAGTGTATGTTGGGGCAGCCATGAACTAGATTATTGAGTAGATTACCCAACCTCCTCTTTTTTTTTGTCCAGAGAACTCATCTTTAACAATCCTACGTATTTTTATAAGCTTTGTGTTATATTGGAAAGGTCAGTTTCATCGTTTCCTTTGAAGAGATTTGGGAAGAAAAACATTACCAAAAAATGCCAAAACCCTGGAATGTAAACAATCTGGAAAGAATAGGAAGCCTAAGATAATAACAAAAAGATCACTTTAAAAAATGTGGATCTATTTCAGGGATTTGTTTCAGAGAATGAACTTGCTTATTAATGTTAGTTTATAATGGTTGAACCATGTTCCACTGTCACCTGTCATTTTTTAAGTCCCAGTTTAGGTACAGAGTAGCAAGAATGCCCAACTATTAATTCCTCAGAAACTGAGATGATTATAACTGAATATAACTTGTTATAATGCATAACCAGCAAAAGACTAAATTATAGTTACTAAAAATCTTAGGTTTTGAAAAGGAAATCCTAAAGACAAAGTAAGCTTTAAAAATAGATTAAAAACATAATTATATTAAAAATTATAATGCGGAAAATTATCTTGCAACTTGTGTTGAATCATATTGAGGCTAGATGCTTAAATGAATATTTTATACATTAATGATAAAGTAATCTTTAAATTGTAAACCTTAAAAATACTAAGTGTATGGTAGCTGGCTGATGCTACCCTCAATGCAACTTAGCAACTGGATTCATTCAGACTTTACATTGTCAAAACATGGTCAGTGATAGTTCTTATTCATAATTTTTAATTACCTTGAGAAATGTCACTTAAAAAAAACAATTATCTCCATCTTCTGTCCATTTTTTATTTATATGTTGAAGGGTTTATAAAATGCAATCCATTTTGCCTGGTAACTCACTTTAATGATGTTCTGAATGTTACTGATGTTTCTCTTTCGTGTGTTGAAGTATTCCTAATTGGTATTTTTGCTTGTTTCACCTCATTTGTGTACTTTCTATATTGCAAATGGTTCAGTGGGGAATTGGATAAGCTTTATTTAGATGGCTTCTAATGGCTGAACAATATAAATTAAACACACTTTTAAAAGACTATATTGTATATAATCTGTTTACCCTGTGGAGTAGTTTGGAGAGAGATATATCTAGGGATAAAATCATCTAAAAATAAACCTGACCGGACTTCCCTGGTGATGCAAGGGGTAAAGTCTCAGTGCTTTGAAGCTATCCTCAGCCACTGAAGTACAAGTTCGATCCCCAGCCAGGGAGCTGACCCACATGGCCCAGCAGACCTCTCCTGTCTTGCCTGTTGCTCCCCTTAGTAGATCCATCTGTTCTGCTCCCCATTCTGTCTCTGGTGAATCCTCTCACCCCTTGCATTTCTGGCCTGCACCCCAGCTCTTGTACGCACAAATAAATAATCTTTAAAAAAAAAAAGTAAAGCTGACATTCCTCAGAAACGCTGGGTTAATGATAGTGTTTTAGATGTCTTAAGCCAAAGAATAATATTCCTGCTGAAACTATAGGATTTTTTAAAAATTGTATTGTGAATAATATAATTACATTACCCCTTTCATATCTTTACCATATACCCAAAGAAATTGACTTTTTGCATCCTGGATTGGTTTTTCATTCTAAATGAAAAAAATCTCTTGATGCTTTGGTCCTTTAAAATTAATTATTTCAGTATGTTTTGTCACTTTGTCAAGTAGGTTGACAAGGATTGACCCCCAAGAAGAAATTCCATACTCATGAGCAGTGATTCCATTCCTTCTTCCCCTGGTATATACTTAACTACTTTTTTGTCTTTATGGATTTGCCTATTTTGAAAATTTCATATATGAAGAATCATAGCTACATAGTCTTTTTAATTTCACATAGTTTTAAGGTTCTTCCATGTTGTAGCATTTATCAATTTATTCCTTTTTTCTGACAGTAATCTGTTGTGTATAGAAAACACATTTATGCACTCATCAGTTGACATTTGGATTGCTTCTTTTGGATTCTGTATAATACACAGTTGTGTACAAGTTTTTGAGTGGACATCTATTTTCATTTCTTTTTAGGCATTTAAGAGTGAAACTGCTGGTTCACATGGATAATTTTTAACCTCTTTTACTGCCAGATTCTTATCCAAAGTAATCCCATTTTGTATTCCCACTAGCAATGTTCAAAGGTTCTAGTTTCTTCACAGTATCACTTGTTCATTCTTTTTGATTACAGCCACCCCAGTGTAAAGTGGCATTTCCTTGATGGCTAATGATGATGAGCCTACTTTTATGTATTTTGCCATTTGTGTATCTTTGGAGCCAGAGTTTTAAAAGTTGTCTTTTAATTGTTGAGGACCCCCACCCTTTTTAAAACTCATCATCCCTCAATTCTTCATGGCTGTCCAGGAACTAAACCTTGCCGTCTGTGCTTAATACATCCTATTAATGTTCCAACCTACCGGTCTCTTCCTGAGAGCCAGCAGATGGCAGTGCTAGGCCCACAATACTATTTATATGCTCAATATAATAGGAAGCACACCATGAGAACAATGCAGAAATCCCTTAGAAGGTTAGGAGGACATTTAACTCTACTGTCCTTTAAAATACAACCTTGCAGGCATCTGCTAGTACATCTGCCTTAAGTATTTACCCAAGTTCACATTTATTTTACCATTAAAAGACTCTTGCTTTTGCTGTTGATTTCTCACAATCTGTTACTACAATATAACCTCTTAAACATTTTGTATGGTTTGTGGGAATAATTTTATGATAAAGGGATATTTGTCTAAAAGAAACAAAAGCAGCCAGTTAGCCTTCCAATAGTTGTCCCTTTATTTTTCTAGAATATACAGCGTGATATTATATTTACGTGAATACAATTACCAAGAATATACTTGAGCTTAAATAACTCAGGAATAAATTTTAGAGCTAAGCCCTAATCAATTCCACATTTATATAAATGTACCTTTAAAATATTTGATTAGGGCCTCTCTGGTGGCACAGGGGTTAAACACAGTGCTATCAAGCTATCACCAACCATTGGCGGCATGAGTTCGATCCCTGGCTGGCCAGGGAGCAACCCACATAGTGCAGCAGACCTCTCCTGCTCCCCTCAGCAGTGTTATTTCAATCAGTCCGCCTGTTCTGCTCCCCACTCTATGGTGAATCCTCTCACCCCTTCCCCGCACCTCTGGCTTACACCCCAGTTCTTGTATGCATAAATAAATCTTTAAAAAATAAATATTTACCTAGCTCAATGAGTTTAAGGATGTAGTTTTCCTAAAAATAACTAAGCTGATGGTATAAGCAAACATCATTTGGGAAGAGTGGTATCCAACTGCTGATCCTTGGAAAAGGAACTGCTGATAGATTTCTAATCACTTCCTCAGAATTCAACCTTCTGATAGGTAATCAGACCCCAGAACAGATTAATTTTCCCTTTATTAGATTTAGATAATGAACTCGCAAATATATCCTTTGCTCTTTATTATTCAATCCGAGTTTTCATACTAATTTTAACCAAAGTTTACATTATTGAAACATTTCAACGTACCACCAGGAAACATAAGCACTTGTTTCATGACTAACAACCAGAAATTCCATATTTAAGAAAGTTTGATTCGGTACTTACGGTTTTCTGGACCATTTAAGCATTTAACACTGTTTTCGAGCCCTCCCTCCAATTAACTTTTCATTTTTTGGTTCAGTAATATTCCCTATTGTCTAAATTATTCAGTCACTTTTTACATGTTTTTTTCCTCCACCTTATATATTCTCAATTAAAAAAAACTTAAATCTGTTATTTTAATCTCCCAGATTATCAGTTTCTCAATGAGACTTGCAGTTTTCTTTACAATACAGATCAACTTTCTTTTAAAGCCCATGGGAACTATAGTGATTCCCCTCTTGTATGTCTATCTTCTTAAGTTTTTTTTTTTTTAAAGAGGCATGTATTTATTTTTATTTGTTTGTTTGTTTATACATGCACTGGGTACAGTCAGAAGCGCGGGAGGGTGAGAGAATTCACCAGAGCCAGAGTGGGGAGCAGAACAGGCAGAAGGACCAAAGTACACTGCTGAGGGGAGCAGCGAGTGGCAGGAGAGGTCTGTGTGCCATGTGGGACCCTCCTCCGGTGGCCGGGGAGCAGCCGGGGATCGAACCTGCGCCGCAGAGGTCGCGGGCAGCTTCGCAACCCAGCGCTCAACCGCTGCGCCACCGGGGAGGCCCTAGCTTCTTAAGTTTTAAGACCTATAAAGGACTTACCAATTTTACTCATCTTTTCAAAATGCCAACTAATTCCAAATTGATTTGTTTTCAGTGTCATTGCCTTATACTCTTAAGTTTTATTGTTTCTTCACTTTGGCTTACTTTGGATTTAATTTGCTTCTCTTTTTCTAGTTTGCTAAGGTAGGATCTAGGTAATTGATTTTAGATCTTTCCTAATCGTTTTTGTTTCAACTAAGAACACACAAGGTTAAGGGGAAAAACTCTCATGGTAATAGATTTAATGAAGTACCATAATTACATCACAGAAAAGCAACTGATTAAGAGACAAAATAGGGATTATTGACCAAAAAAATTAAAAGCTTATTGGTCCGAGGGATAGAAAACAGTTCTACCCTCAACTCTGCTGCTGTTAGTCAGCTATCAAGGGAACAATTCCTCTTTAGTTTCTCTATTAACATACTTAACAATTATTAGACAAAATACTTTTAATCTAAGGGTACAATCAACTGTTCTCTGTAATAGGGGAGGTCACAGAGACCTCTCATTGATTTACCAATGCTATTGTTATGAGAACAGTAAGCACTGACTCTTGATAGTGTCAAGTATTTCACCAAGAGTACTGAGCATGTCAGTAAATTAGGACAAGTAACAGTGATTTTGTACTTTGCATTGCTTGCAAATTGCTCTAACAAAAAATATTGAAACCCAGGGAAAGGAATTCTAGGGATTTCAGCTCCGTATATACCTTACCCCCAGAGGACTTAACTCACATGTATTTGGAAAAAACTTTTCAATGATTACTTAATATGTATCACCAGTAAGAGTGAAGAAAATGTAATTTCTTAAGGTAAAAAATATGCTATGAAGTAAATGCTTAAAAAAAGAATAGGCAATCTTGCTAATCCTTTTTTAAACCTAATTAATGAAAATCAGGCAATTTTACTTTCTTAATGCAGTCATTTCCAACACAGGTAGTAATTTACCTTACATCACAAATAAGGTGACTCTAACAGTGAACCTATTAAAGTTCTATGTCTCCTAGTTGAATCCCATAAAACTACATATTATACCATTTTTTTTTTAATCAAACAAAAAAATGAGACCTTTCTTATTTTGAAAGAAGGGAGAATTCATCTGGAGGTCCAAGAGTTGCGTTTACATCAGATGACACAGTCAAACACACGCTTTATCCCAGCAACCTGTTTTTGAGAATCTACTTTATAAGCATGTATTTGGTTTCTAAATTAATAGTTTAATAGATGTAGTCATTAATGAGTATATGCTTTTATTGGATATGAAAAATAAACTTTCTGCATTGCTGAAATGTGTGATGCAAAAAATTCCTGTGAACTTTGTTCTATATAGGAGAGCAGCTTTACTTTCTATGTAATTCTACCATGCAAATAGCACTTGAATTTTTTTTCTGAAATAATGTTAACATTAAACATACACACACATACATGCTTTGGGACAGGTCATTTTGTTACAGCTTCTTTCTTTTGATCTGACTTTAGAAATGTATGGAATAAAATGGTATTTTATCACAGAAAACTAAATTTTTGAAGCTTTCCCACTGTTAACACAGGAATGATAGCAACCCATACTTTATTTCCTATTTAAGCAATCAATAAACTCACTGGGATCTGTACTCTTGTCCACAATTATGCAAGATATGCAAATCAACTTTTAAATAAAAAATTCATTTCAAACTTCTTCAAGACTCAAAAAGAACACACACAATTACATATTTTATCATTTTATTAGGAATAATTCCAAATGGGTTATGAAGAAAACTTACTGAGTTTGATCAGTTTTTGAAAATCTCTTAAAGAAGATATGTTCACCAATAAACAAAGTATCAGCAGAATTATCATATAGTGGGCAAAGAGGCTGATACCAAAAGCAACATGCAACATAAAAAAGATACAATATAAAGGAAGACAATCTGCTGAGTATTAAAAATCATCTCAATATGAAGTCTTTGCAACCAGCACAGAAATAGCTATCAAACCCAAACCACATCAAGGTAAGCTTGACTGGTGGAAGCCAGGAGTCAAGAATGGGAGAAAAGTAAGTTTCTCAGTATAAGAGATCTGGGTAGTGTTTTGGAGCCTTTCCCTGGCTGGCACAAGCAGTATTAGAAAAAATTTTTGGCAAGGGAGAAAAATAAATACAAATGGAATGCTACATTTTCAAATCAGCAGACTGCCCCAGGAATGATAAAGGTATCAGTAAAGTAGCAAGGGGTAACTTTTTAACATTATTTGTTGTGGGCTAAAAAACATTCAAAACAGATTTAGAGTAAGTGTCAACAATAGCTATGTCCAGGCATTGAGGCATAAGGGTAGAAAGTAAAAGAGGATACTTTTTTCCAAGTTAAGGAGAATTTCTTTAAAGCCAAGCATATTGCTAAATAGCAACATTATACTTGGCAAACAATAATTGGCAACAAAATAAGTTTAAACGCTGTAATATTCTGCCCAAACCAGTCCCAGATACTGTTTAATAACCAAGATGCAAACTAATTTTGTTGTAACAAGCCTAGACCAATTCTATCAAACATGTCCTTGGTTGGATATCCAGTTTCATTTAACGTTTTGAAAGCTCATTTGACAGCCAGTCAAGTCCCTCATACAGACCGGTTCCTTGTGTAGCACAAGTGGCTTGAACATACCACTATAAAGAAAGGACAAGAAAATATTTTAAGTATTTTTTTTATATAAATAGGACTATATATAACCACAGCATCTAAAGTTTCTTAATCAGAAACTATTTTCCCCCACTTTATTTATATAGGGTGCATTTACATCTTATTAACAGTTATTATAAATATATAGAAAATTAAGAAAACAAAAAATTAATATAAAACCATGATAAATAAATAAAAATGTTAACATACTACAGCTCACAAATGACTAATTTTAATTATTTTTTAACTATAGATTGGGAGCATTCTCACATCTCCTCATGAAACTCTCCTATCTAAAGTCATTCCTACCTATTCATTAGATTTAATCAACTATTCACTACTTTTTCTGAAATAAGTCATAGGAAGATAGTAACTGATAAACTACACACCTAGGTCCTTATAACCCACTTGTTTTCCATAAAGCTACATTTAGAGTAGAAGAGACAAATTTCTGAAAGAGCAGGAGTGGTTAATATTTTATAGGCAAACTATTTTCAGTAGTTTGCATTCCACTTTTGATCTCCAGGAACTATATGAAATGCCGTGAAAAAGTTACAAGTACCAAGAAAAAAATATGGAAAGCAATGTAAATACCTTTAAGAAATATTTTGTTTTTATTAATTTTCTCTGTTGATTAGTTTTTATTTTGGCTTAAAATAAAGACCTTGCTTTAAAGTTGCAACGCCAATGCAACATACCATGACACCAATTATTTAAATACACCCACCTATGTAACTTAGAAGACTGTGAAAAGTATGCATTCATATCTCTACAGCATGGAAAACTGGTGTCATTTACAATTTAATTTATTTAAATTAGCCCAGGACGTCTCAGATAGTCTATTGCTACTGCATGGTTATTTGTCTTGTTGACAAGCTATGAAAAATTATCGTGAAGCATAAAATACAACAACAGCTTCTTATATTATCTTATAGTATAACAGTTTACTTTGTTTTGCTAATATTTAAATCAATGATCTAGAATGGTGTTACTAGAAAATAACAATTCAGTTTTCTACATCTTTATTAATACTAGAATTTTGAGGATAAAATTCCCAAAAATCAGGTGAAATGATGGCATTTAAATCTTTATAGCCTTAAAGATTATAAAACCTTTACACCCTTAAAGTTAAAAAATAGTTATGCTAATAATTCTAATAGGAGGTTAAATGTGAACCTCCAAGTACTTACTGTTCTGTTACGGAGAGACTGAAGACCTAATTTATCTGTCATTTCACTGATGGCCATAGCATTTGGCAAGTCCTGTTTGTTTGCAAAAAGCAGTAATACTGCATCTTGCAACTCATCTTCCTGAAGCTGGAAATAAAGACATTAACAATTACCAAACTGGAATCCAAATATTGTAACAAACTAGATAAAATACTACCTGCATATCATTTATCAACATTAAATCTATTATTAAACAACAATACAATTTCTCTACATTAAGTTCAGGTAATCTTGACACTTAAATCTTATTACATTGCACTTTAAAATCCAGAGAAATAATCATATGCCTTCATGTAAAGAAAAACTGTTTTTTACAAACTAATCATCCTATACTCTATTCAGGTAAATCATTCAATTCAGCACTCATGGCCAACCATTGAGGGTCAAAATTGGCAAGGACAAAGACATATGGAAACAAACATTTATGGCAGGATCTCAACATACTGAGTAGTGAAAGTATTTAGATGATGAACCTTTTTGAACTTTTATCCTTTTATCTTTCTGGACTTTATTCAGTTGGCAAGGGGACAATATAATGATTAGATCATTAATAATGTCATGAAAAATACAAGAATAATACCAAGAGTAAAAGGCTACAGGAATGAAGCACTGACACATTATTATTGCTGAACCTTTAAAACTTATGCAAAGTGGAAAAAAAACAGACTAACAAAGACTACATATTACATGATTCCATTTATATGAGTATCCAGAATAGGCAAATGTTATAGAGACCAAAAGATTAGTAGGTGTCAGAGGTGGGTGTATAACGTGGGTTCAGAGAAGGGAGAATGAATGCTAGTGGTGCTAGGATTTGTGGGGAAAGGGTGATGACAGTGTTATAAAATTACATTTTAGTGATGATATAAAATTGGGTGTACTAAAAACCATCAACTTAAAGGCACATGAATTATATCTCAATAAAGCTATTTACAAAAAATGAACAGAGGATGGTGACATTTAACTCAGACAAGAAACCATGAGTGGCTTTTACACATATACTTTGGTTTTATAAACCGCACTCTAAGCTTAGTAACAATAAACAAGACATAAGACTTCCTTTCAGTCAACATTTTAATGGATACAGTTTGAAATAAGCTCCCCCATTGGAGAAAATTCAATATGAATATATAAAGTCCTCAATCCACAATTTAAGTACCATCAACCAAAAGGCTGCTACCTTTAGGTTGAATTATCACAGTTGCTATGACAAAATATTTCCAAGTAATTATAGTCATATCACAGGAAAAAAATGAACCAATAACCTTGGGAACAGGATTCCTAGCCTATGTCACAAAAACTTCAAAACTATAGTTTATATAAATAATATAATGGACTAGCTTAAAGCAGACATCCTGAACCAGAGATCGGGATCAAATAACCCATGGAGCATTGTAAAAGCAAGCTAGGCCTTCTTCCCAACTTACTCTGTGCCCTCTCAGTAGCTCTTATGTTTTATTTAAAAAGCTCTTTAGGGGAGCACCTGCACCCCTATGTTTATAGCAGCACTGTTTACAATAGCTAAGCTTTGGAAACAACCCAAATGCCCAAAAATAGATGACTGGATCAAGAAGATGTGGTACATATATACCATGGAATATTACTCAGCATTCAAAAAAGATAAACACATGCAATTTGCAGCAACATGGATGGCGCTGGAAGGGATCATGCTCAGCGAAATAAGCCAAAAAGAAAAAGAAAAATACCGGATGGTCTCACTCATAGCAGGAATCTAGAAAACTTAAATAAGGGACCAGGAAAATGAATATAAGAAAGTGAAAATCAAAATCAACAAAAAACTATGAACCAGAGACACTTTTTGGGGGGTGGGGGGCGGGAGGGGAAGGATTGGGGTCAGAATGGGGCATTTGCAATTGTATGGGGGAATATAAAAATAAAATTTAATATTAAAAAATAAAAAAATAAAAAGCTCTTTAGGGGATTTTTATTTGCACAACTAAGAACATATGATGATGTAACCGCTCAAGTTTCCTCCTAGCTCTAAAAAAATCTTTCCCTGTAAATCCCATCATAGTTAAAATGTTATCAACCACTACCACCACCACCACCCCCCCCCCACCGTCACACACACACAAAAAAAAAGATCTCATGAATGATAAAATTTAAAAATACTCATACCATTTTCTGCAGCACTTCTGCTCCTTCCTCAATTCTTTCACGATCATTGCTATCTACCACAAAAATAAGGCCCTGGGGAAAAATTGTTTATAAATTGTAAGTTAAGTTACAATAAAAATTTGCAAGTTAGATATAAAACGTAAGTATAGATAGCAATCCCATATCAACAGTTGTATATTAGTATTTACGACAGCCAAGTTATGAAATCAACCTAAGTACTAATGACAGATGAGTGGATTAAGATGTGGTACATACACACACTACCACTCAGCAATAAAAAAGATAAAATCTTGCCATTTGTAATGACATAGATGAAACTGAAGAAGATTAAATTAAGTGAAATAAGTCAGAAGGATAGTTAAATATCAGACAATTTCACTCGTATGTAGAATATAAACAAAACAAAGGAACAGACAAAACCAAACTAAACCAAACCCTAAAAAGTGACTTGCAGAACTGAGACCAGAAGGAACAGATAGGAGGAAAATGTGGAGAGGGCCTAACAGACTATGGTGGAGTACTACGGTGCCTTGGTGATGGGTGTGGGATGTAACATACATCTAAAGAGGTGTGAACCTGTACTTTTGACTCACATACCATGTTGTATACCAACATTACCTCAAAAAAATACAATTTTTAAAATTATTTTGGAAGATGTCTCTTAAAAAAGAGAACAGTGCTCTAAATACTGAAAATGAATTTGAACATTAGTTATGATTTTAACTTATTTCAAATTAAAAAAATCTTACTTTTAAATTTTTTAATCAGCTCCACTAAATATAAATTTTGTCCCTTTCTCTGTGCCCTCACATGTTTATTTGCAGGTAAGTCAAAGTAACAAAATGGTCATAAAGTAGGGACGATGAGAAAAGAATAACCAAAGATGCTTAAAAATCATGAATTTACCAAATTAAAAAAAAAGAATTAGCTTACTCACAAAATGTTAAAAAAAAAAAAGGGGGGGTGGGGGCATGCACTACACTAATTTTTGTATGTTTCATCAGGAAGACAGCCTTACTCCAGAATGTTATCTGCCAACTTTAGAATCAGAAAGAAGTCTTAAGTGAAATACATGAGGAAAAAAAATCAAGGTTCACTTGGTGAAATACAGAACTCTCAACAAAAGGAAAATAACAATTCTTATAGGCATTCAAAAATATAACTCTATACTACAAAAGAAATGGAATGGGGAAGCAATTAGTTGAATTTTAAAACATCACAAACTGTCGACAGCTTTATAACTAGATTAAATCCACTGAGGGCAAAAGGCTTCATCATTTTCTATTTACCCATTATAGTAATATAATGTGGTAATATAGTACAAGCTTGCCTGGGAACCTACCACTTGTTTTAGGCTACTGTAATTACGTGACAATTTCCTTTGGTCTACATCCTACAATGCAAAGGCGAGCCCTCTCTCAATCAACAACAAAGAATGATCCAGCCAAAATGCCAATAATGTTCTTGAAAAATCGTATACTACAGCTTTGCTTCTCACGTAAGATCCTAAACCAGCAGCATCGGTACCATAATCCAAGAACTTGCTGGAATGCAAAATTGTAGGCCTTGTAAGGCCCTATAGAATAAGTCTCTGTTTTAACAAATACCAGTTGATTCATATGCACCACAAAGTCTGAAAATACTACTGATAGTCAGTTTGTGTCCCTAGAAATTCTACTTTAAGTGATCTGCAATTATGATCAGGGCTTTGAGAATTTTGAAGTTCACCGGGCAATTCTAATGTGTAAACTTGAGAACTCCTGCTCTACAGCAACATTAAGATCTCTACCATATGAGTACCAAATATACCACATTATAATATAAAAGCAGCTTAAAATGAAGAGAGCTGAATATAAAAAAAATAACTTTTTTTCTTCATGTGTTTTTAGTAAAGTACTTAACTGGGTTAAGTAAAGGACTATTAATTGTATTACATTCATTAAAAACTATAATGACACAGTTACAGACCTTACTTTCTATACTAAGATGGAACTAATAGAATTGATGTGACATCTAGTTCCATCTTGAGAATCTTGCAAAATACTGCTAGATGGCTCTATAAATCTTCCACCCTTCAAAGGCCTGAGTGAAAGAGTTCACTGAAGAACATGGAAGTAGTGATAAGAAAAATGCCAACTCATACAGTAAATGCAAAAATTCAAATAAACAGTAGATATTAACAAACTTTGGAGCATTAAACATATAAAGGAAAGTTATAAAAATGTAGAATTCCTTACCTGGGTATTTTGGAAGTAATGCCTCCAAAGAGGTCTAATTTTATCTTGACCACCAACATCCCAAACTGTGAAACAAATGTTCTTATATTCTACTGTCTCCACATTAAAACCTACAACAGCAACAAAAACTAGTATGACCGCTGTGTACAATGTCATTAAGAAAATAAACTAGTTCACTCAGAATTGGTCTTTCTAGTGTCCTCATCAGGACACTGATAAGGATGGATACATGTCACTGTGCATTTGTCTACAACCATAGAATATATACCACCAAGAGTGAGCCCTAAGGTGGTAAACTATGGACTTTGGGTATATGATTTGTCAGTGTAAGTTCATAGGAGTGATGTCTAAGAGGGAGGAAGGTTCCAGATGTGGATGGAAAATTTTAAGCTTCTATTTTTCTGTGAACCTGAAAATGCTCTTTAAAAATGTTTTTGAAAAAGTTCAAGGAGTTAAGCACATCACTGTGAAGCTATCTGCAGCCTCTGAAGCACCAGTTCAATCCCCGGCCAGCCAGGTAGCTGCCCACATGGCACAGCAGACTTCTGCCTCACCTGCTGCTCCCCTCAGCAGTGTATTTCAGTCAGTCTTCCTGTTACGTTCCCCACTCTGTCTCTGGTGAATCCTCCCCTCCCACACCTCTGTCCTGTACCCCAGTTCCTGTATGCATAAATAAATCTTTAAAAAAAATAAAAATAGGGGTCTCCCTAGTGGCACAAGGGGTTAAGACACAACCTATGAAGCTATCCACAGCCACTGCAGCTCGAGTTCAATCCCTGGCCAGGGAGCAATCCACATGGTGCAGCAGACCTCTCCTGACTCGCCCGCAGCTTCCCTTAGCAGCGTATTTCATCAGTCTGCCTATTCTGTTCCCCACTCTGTCTCTGGTGAATCCTCTCACCCCCCACACCTCTGGCCTGTACCCCAGTTCTTCATGCATAAATAAATCTTTTTAAAAAACATCAAAAATAAAACAAAAATGTTTTTGAAAAATTTTAAAACTGTATTCCATTTCACTTTACATAAAATACATTATTATGATATAAAGTCATCTGTAAACTTTCTTACCAATAGTAGGAATGGTGGTGACTATCTCTCCTAATTTCAGTTTATACAGAATGGTCGTCTTGCCAGCAGCATCCAATCCAACTAAAAGAAGACAATATAGATTTTAATTCCAGACCAAAAGCACATGTTAAGCAGTAATTTTACAACAAATTCATAGTTTGAAAATAAAAGTTGACTTCTCAAGTCACAAATGCACTAGAAGTGAAATTAATTATTTCTGATTCCCACAAATACTTCCTATAGAAAGTCATTCAACTGTTTTTTAATTTTCCTTATTTAAGCACCAATTTTGGGTAAAAGGTCATGATGCTGGGAGGAAATACATAATTATATACTAGTTTTTTACAATAGAAGAAGATAGATGATGTCAACTTTACCCCTGCCTAAATCCATTTCAACGTCAAATGTGCAAAAATGAGAAAATACCTGTTCATCTGGGTTGTAAAAATGGCCCTACCATTTATCACCAATGTAAATAATGTCTAAATTTTTTTTTAATGATTCCTATGAAGAAGATACAAGTGGAAAGAAATGTCTTGGTTTCTGGTTAAAAGGGGAAAAAAAGCTATTACAAGGGGATACCTCTTTATTAAGAGACAGTGAAGAACAAAATAAATGGTTATTTTAAGTCTGAATCAAAAACCACACTGTTTGCTAGCTTTTATAAGTCAAAAATAAATAGCTAATAATCTCATTGAAAGTATCAATTTAAGGACAATGAATATGGACACTTATTTACACTATCACAGATTTTGAAATCAATTCAACTGAGTACTGATTTGATGCTTTAATATTTAAATCAAAGTATGATTTGACACATGAGAATAATGCTATTAAGTTAAAAAGGAATCATCTCACTTATCTATTTTACATTCCTGCAATTAAGTTTAACTTTTATCAGTTAGTACAAAACACATCTGAAGGCTACAGGCAATTCAGAGTCCTTACAACCATATAACCCTTTTTGCCATGTATCCTATTAAAATCTCTCTGGAGATTAAGGAATTTTATGCCTTGTTTTATTGTGTCCTCTAGTGAAACTGTTTATTACTTCCTTATACTGGAAATCAAGTTTCTGCTTTCCAAATTACTAAGACACTTATTAAAATGAGCAGCTTGGGCCTCCTGTGTTGCAAGGGGTTAAGAGACAACCTACGAAGCTGTCCACAGCCTCTGCAGCATGAGTTCGATCCTCAGGCTGGCCAGGGAGCAACCCACATGGCACAGCAGACCTTTCCTGTCTTGCCCGCTGCTTCCCTCAGCAGTGTATTTCAATCCATCCGCCTGTTCTGTTCCCCACTTTGTCTCTGGTGAATCCTCTCACCCTTCACACCGCTGGCCTGTACTCCAGCTCTTGTAGGCATAAATAAATAAATCTTTTTAAGAAAAAAAATGAGCAGCTGACTCACACCCTCATTCATGAACATAAGAAGCAACTGTTAACTCTAGGGAAGTGTTCTGTTGTGTGTGTGTGTGTGTGTGTGTGTGTGTGTGTGTGTGTGTGTGTTTAACCAGTATCAGAAAGATCAGAATACATAACTCTAGAAAATACACAAATAATAAACACACACACAAAAAATAAAGTAGCTATCTTCAAGTTGGACATCTTCAGTAAAAATACTGAAATGGGGGAAAACAATCTAATCTCTTCAATGTTTGAAAAAGCTAAGTCCCTTAAGAGAATATGTTCGTAAGTATTTTGATCAAGTTTTAAATAAAGGAAGTTTCACCTTTCACACTAAGTCCAAATACCTAAGATTAAGTCAGAAGATTGGAGATGCTGATTAGAAAAACCACTGGATTATGCTTTGAGAATTGTGGCTGGTAATTTTTCCTGATGTGTCTATCAAGACGACGACCACTATGAGCCTTAAATACAATTTATATACTTATTTTTATAGGAAAAGGGAGGTGTTTACACCCCAAATAGTGCTATATAAATGAAAACCAGAAGTTTTTAAAAATACATATTTCTACAGTGAAATTTAAGATGCACAAATTAATATACTGCTCAAAACTCTTTACAAAGTTCTTTACTCAAAAACATATTGGTCTAACAATTTTGTGCCACCTCAGTTAGTTCTTAGGTATGTATTTCCTTAATATTGCAATATTTGGCAAACAGGTTCACCACAAAATGAAACTATAACCAACTCTCAACCAGCCAAGATAAGACAGACTCTAATCTGTACAGTCCAGTAATGCCCTCCCTCCCTCCCACTCCCATAAACAAGTCACTGTACTGAGAGATACACAGGAATTACTTGTTCTTAACCAGACCTGCACTCTGACCAAATTGTTAATAGCAGCAAAACTACCTAAAAATCATTGCCAGTAATTAAAAAAAAGATGTCTATCAAATATCAAATCATGGTAGCAAGAAATACTTTAGGAAGTTAGATTCCTACTGCAACTCTGAGGAAAAAAACAAATGCAGGGAGACTGGGAAGAACAAGAGCATATTTTCAGATGAGTAAAATTCAAATGCAATACTTTTCTTCTTCATATTTTCCTTTATATTTCAAATTATCTTTTGAGAAAGCTTGAAATACAATTGCATAGTAATTTAACAAGTAATCTAAATTTCAGGGCATATTGTGTTTCAAAAGCACAAAAGCAGGTGATTCCATACATTTTTGTAAATTAATCTTCACAATAACCCTCCATTTTTCAGATGTGGCATCTCAAGTTCAAAAATGTCCCCAAGATCACAGAAGTTAGGTATTCAAAACCCTAACTCTGTGGAGAAATTACAACCCACATACATAGTTTCTGGGACTATAAAATAGGCTGGCTGCTTTGAAAAAAGCTTGTAGGTTTCTCAAAATATTAAATGTAGTTAACATATGACACACAATTCTATTTCTAGAAAATTTACCTATTTACCCTAAAAAAATTTAAAATATATACCCAACACAAAGACTTATTCGTGATCACAGACGAATCATTGATAAGACTAAAAGTGCAAACAACCAAATTTCTATCAACTGATGAGAGGACAACCAAAATGTGTACATGGTTTACAATGGAATTCAGTCACAAAATAGAGTACAAAAACATATACATGCTATTGAACCTTGAAAACATGCCCGGTGAAAGAAACTTAACACAAAAGGCGACATATTCATAGTATGTTATTCAGAAGAGATAAGTCCACAGAAATAGTAAGTATGAGTGGCTGCAAAAGGACTGAGGAGGGGAGTTGTGGGGAGAAATGACTACTAAATTATTTGGGGTTTCTTTCTAAGCTGATGAAAATTTTCTGTATTCTAGACAATGGTGATGGTTACAAAACTTTGTGAATATACTAAAAATCACTGAATTGTACACTACAAAGGTATTGATTACCTAATGTGCATTTCTCTAACTTTAAAGATATTTATATAGATGAATTACAGCTCTTAAAAAAACCTGTCTGATGCCAGACCTCTCAAAAGTATTTATATACTGTCATCCTGTATTTAGTTTTTTTCTGTGGACATGACTGTATCTTCATATTTCATCTAATTCCTCAACAGTTTGACCATCAAAACTGAAAACGTATAGAAAGTATAAGAAAAATTACAATGAGCTTAAGTTTTGCAGACAGACTGAGGAATTCGTGTTAACTAGCAAATTATCAACATCTCTAACAGACATAGCTTGTTAATAGCGTACAAGGATACATCTAAGGATGGCTATATCAACTTCTAGTGCATGAAACTGAAGATTTTTGCCTTTTCTATTGTTTTCCTATATTCATGTAACTAATCAAAGGTCCTTTTCCTTTAAAAAGGCTAGAAATTGTTTCCAACTAACGACCTGAGAAAATGCTCATAATAAGCTAAGTTAAAAAAGAGAATACAAAAAAATACCTATAGCACAACTACAATTTTGAAGGAACAAAAACTTCCTTTTAAAAGAATAAGAGAAAATAGAATAAAATGTTCTACTAATAGAGTGCATCTCTGAGGGTACCAGTAATCAACACTTCTTTTTTCATGACAAAAGAAATTATACATAATAAATAGGTTCGAAAAGAACATATACATAATAAATACATTTACAAAATATGCTAGGGGAGAAGTCTAAAATACCACTCTCCAGTTTGAAGCCTCACCTAAAGTATTGGTAATATTTTCAAAATGGCAAATATAAGATTTTTCCTTCTGAAGTCTGGCCAAGACCAGTCACATATAAGGTAATTCAGAACTATACTGGTATTAGAGGTCCTTTAGAAAGCAACACTTTTTCCATTTTTCAGCAGGCAAGATTACTCACCAAAGACACTAGAATTCCTATATAGAAGACAGTGTTTTCAGATTAAAACAAAATTTGGGGAGTCATTTACCAAAACTACATCTTATCACCGATCAAACAGAGATGAGACTTGAAATGGGGTAATTCATGGCGACATGACAAATCTAAGGTGGAAACTAACTGTCTTTGAATTTAAGTAATATTCCCACAAGAGATTTCTCTTTTCAAAAGCTGCGACACAATTTCTGTTGTATTGGCTTTTAATTTTTTAATTAAGTTAACTAAACGCTGTAAAATCAAACACATTATTAAAAGTAAATTCAAACTTTTGGGAAAGTAAGGATAGACTAAAGCTTAAAATTTCTCCACAGTAGTCTGACAATCCAGACACAATAAGCAAACTTTTTTTTCACACACTTTAAATTGGTGAAGTCTGAAAAAAATCACTGACTCAAGAAGGCATGAATTTTAACTAAGCCTTACAAAGGAAAGGAAGCATACATACCTGCCAGAGAACATCAATATTGAAAAAAACAAGCATTTGCTGTAAATTCTAATACTTAAGCAGCAGACACCTTAAGAGTCAGTGTTATTTGTTGTCTTTCATAAAGCTAAACAATCAAAAAAAAATCTAAGAATTACCAAACGTCTTACTCTATTTATGCATTTATCTTCCCTATAAAGTGTTATCTGACAAGCACCACAGAAGTTGACTTTGCAACTTAAGTGTTTAATCAAGGGAAAAGTACTGAACAAAACAGTGATAAACGTTTGAATTAAAATGAGTAATTCCAATTCATAACTTATCTCCTGAAAAACTTAAGTACTTTTCCTTTTCCATTTTCTTTCAACCATTATCTTTGGAGGGTAGGTGGGAGAAATGCTCCCGTAAGACAGTAAACAGTCACTTATGACAACTGCCTTCTGCTTCTGAAACGTTTATCCATCACAAAAGACTAAGGAAATGAAAAAATAAAAATTCATTTACAAGAAATCTTGAAAGGACTAACACATCTTCAGGACCACAACCCTGTACTAGTAAATTCCTTTAAGGAACATGCTGGACATCCATTTATCACAGTACAAAGTTCTCCCACTGACTCCAGGTCCTTTTCACACCGCCAACTTTCAGTCACTTTTAAAGCTTAATGTGCTAGTTCCCTCCTTAAATAATCACTTTCCTCTTCAGATATTATGAGAAACTTAGAGAAAACACATTATCTCTTTGAAAGAACTATTAACTGTTCCATGAATTGTGAAGAAGCTGGATTAACAGAAAAGTGAGATTACAGAATGTGTGTTTAAATCTTTACACACCTGGCAATACTACTGAACCTTAATCGAAAAACCTTCCTTGGTAACAGAAACTCGAAAATAAAAGCTTTCTCCCCCAATCTTAGTAAACAAGTTAATGAACCAAGTTTCACTGTGTGAAGTTACAAGGTTTCCTTTTAGGAATGATTGACTGACTATTCATGCCCGTGGAGCTTAGCAGTGATGTAGACTACTCGCAGTACAATAAAGGAGGGGTGGCTTGCATGACCCAAGAAACAAGCCCCTTCTCTTCCAGCTGAGTAAAAACCCACCCTGAAAAGCAGCTTTGAAAAGCCTATTTTCTAAAAGAACGCCCAGAAAGTCTCTGTAACTATCATTTAACAAGGATATCCTAAAATTAAACGTATTAATGTTCAGTTACTGAAAACCTCTCATCGACTTTAAGAAAAATTAGCCTATATGTTTTTTTGCCCGTTATATCTTAGCCAGTTGGGAAAAAAAAATAAAGACTAAAAGTGGAAAGGCAAATATGCTGAGTTTTGGGGTAATCAGAAAAAACAAATTCACGATAAACTCACTTTCCAGGGACAGTAATAAGGAAATGGGGGCGGGAAATCCCCCTTTCCCCAGCGCGATGCAAAGTTTAGCCAAGTGAGCGCAGAGGAGTCGGTGCTCCCCAGAAACCTCGGGCGCTCCCTTCCACCGCACTGGGCCTGGTCACTTCCTGCCAAGGCCGGCTCCGGACTCTCGGCGACCGCTCGTTCCCACACCGCTGGAGTGTGCGGGTGTGTACTCGGAAGGGGGAGGAGGTCGGATGAAGTCGCTCCCCTTCCCTCCCAAACCGCTGCCTACACCGGGGAGAAGAAGGGGAGCCCGAGCGCACCCTCCGAATGGATCTCGCCGGTGTCTTCGGGGGCTCTGCGAGATCAGAGTTCGCTTGCCCCACATCTCCGCCCAATCTTGTCGGGTTTTCAATAAGAGATCAAAGAGAGAAAACCAAACGCAGGAGGAGGAAGTACTACCCTCGCCCTGTCCAGTCTCGTCGACAGAACTGGGGGGACCGCCCATCTTTATCCCATTGTTCCCCCTTAAGAATTCCTCCCGACCCCCAGCCCACCGCCCCTCCCCCTCCACAGCGAGCGGGGGGGGGGTGGGGTGGGGAACAGGCCCCAGGCCGCCCCAATCGCAGAAACCCGGCCTACCCCGACCCTCACAGGGGCCTGGCCCTGCTGGCGGCCCCTCACTCACCCATCAAAATGCGCATCTGCTTCTTCCCGAAGAGGCGGGAGAAGAGGGAGGAGATGGTGAGGCCCATGGCGGTAGGAGCGCTTGCGATGGGCAGGAGCAGAAGGGGCTGGAGCGTCTTCGGGCCTTCTCTTTCGCGCTCGCGGCTCACCGAGCGAGAGGGAAGCGCAGCTGAAGAAAAAGGACGGCGGGGACGGCTTCTGGCCGGCACGTCAGGCGAAGCGCCGGGACAGGAGTTAGCAAAGGCGAGGACCTGCTAGGCGACTGGCGAGGCAGCTCCGGCTCTGGCGTTAAGTCTTCGGCTGTGCCACGTCACGCGGCAGCCGAGGCGACTCCGGCGGCGGCCGGCCCCTCCAACGCGGACAGAATCGCGTCACCGCGGCCCCATCCCCCTGCGCTTCCGGTACTTTCCGAACCACTGCGCATGAGCACGCGAGAGATTGGCCCACTTCACTGACGTGCTTCTCTGGCCGGCGTCACCTCCCGGACGTGGCTCCTGGAGCAGACGAAGCTGATTGGCACATGCGTAGTGGGAGACGGACAAACTCCCACAATGCTTCGCTTCGTCACTTCCAATCAGATTCAAGGAGAGACGCTTCCGCCGGGATAAATCCATGCTGGAGGTTGTAGTCCTGGCTTCCGGAAATGTTGGCGCTGCGTTCTGGGCTGGGTGGTGGACTTAAGTCCTTTCCGCCCTTTGGACATCCTCGTCTAAAACTCGACGTGTGTTGGGGATTCCCCGGTTCCTCCTACTAAAACGTACACTTTTAAGCACTGAACCAGACTCTTGCCCTAGTGAAAGCGTGAAGAGACGGGCTCCGCCTTCCTGGTGAGTAAATGGTTAAAAGCCAACCTTGCAGGTGCAGAGGCGCTGACCACTGATACAGAAGCTAGGCCTGGACGCTTCGACCCCCACACGACGTCTTGCAGAAGATACTTAGTCAAAAGTCAATACCAGACACCTTCCTGACATTTTCGTCATTGCAGCTTTGTAAGATAAACCCACGGCAAAAGCTTGCATTTCTTGTTATCTTTTCTTCCTAGAAGAAGCATAGATTTATTTCTTAAGTTGTCAAAATGGAAACTCTTCTTTAAACATTTTTCCTGATTACGAAATAAGTTACACATTTTGATTTTAAAAAGTATATGAAGGGCCTCCCCGGTGGCGCAGCGGTTGAGCGCTGGGTTGCGAAGCTGCCCGCAGCCTCTGCAGCTCCGGTTCGATCCCCGGCTGCTCCCCGGCCACCGGAGGAGGGTCCCATATGGCGCGCAGACCTCTCCTGCCGCCCGCTGCTCCCCTCAGCAGTGTACTTCGGTCCTTCTGCCTGCTCTGCTCCCCGCTCTGGCTCTGGTGAATGCTCTCACCCTCCTGCGCTTCTGACAGTACCCAGTGCTTGTATAAATAAATAAGTCTTTAAATAAATAAATTAAATATTCTTAAAAAAAAAAAAAGTATATGAAAAAGCAAGTTGCCTCCACTCTGTTGGCGCAGTTCAGTATTAGTAGCACACCCACCCTGTCCTTATCCTGCCTAAGTAGTGCTGTCCTTATCCTGCCTAAGTAGTGCTCATCCCTGCCTCAAATCTATCAGAAGTTTAACTCTCTTGGGGCCTCCGTGGTGGCGCAGGGGTTTAAAGACACAGCGCTATCAAGCTATCTGTGACTTACATCCCCGGCCAGGGAGCTGGCCCACATGGCGCAGCAACCCTCTCCTGTCTCGCCTGCTGCTCCCCAGTGTATTTCGGTGGATCCACCTCTTCTGCTCCCCACTCTGTCTGGTGAATCCTCTCACATCCCACACCTCTGGCCTACACCGCAGTTCTTATATGCGTAAAAATATTATAAATCTTAAAAAAAATAAAAACGAAGTTTAATTCTCTTGGAAAAAATTTGACCTCTTGACTACATAAATTTCTCTGTTACTCAGGTTCAAAGAATCATAACCTTTCTTTAGTGAATGTGGTGTCTTTTTAAATGTTAAGTGAAACCCTCTGCCTCTTCCCATTGTGTGAAAGCACTGGGAAGGCAAGACTCTAGTCCGTTTTTATATTCCATTGTATTCCCTGGACTTGGCACACAGTGAGACTCAATTATGGTTGGATATAGGGATGGCAGAATCATAGAGATGGTATATCTATACTATGGAATAATGTCAGGAATTAGAATGAACTTGAACTGTTCTAATGAAAGAACTCCAACATAGTTAGTGGGGGCAAAAGTCAAACAATGGATAAGTACTGTAAAGTAATATAAAAATGTAGATTCCGCTCCCCCCACTCCGTGTGTGTGTGTGTGTGTGTGTGTGTGTGTGTGTGTGAGAGAGAGAGAGAGAGCGAGAGCGAGAGTGTGTAAATGCAGAATAAGGATGTACGATCTGCAGTGTAGTGATGCTGGTTATCGGTTTCACCTCTCCGGAGGGAGGAGATAGCCTTCCCTGGGAGTAAAGGAACCTGGTTTTGGAGTTGTCCTGAAAAGTTATCTGTAATTTTAAATACAAATCTTTTTTATTGAGATATAATTTACATCTAATAAAACACGAATTTTAAGTATACAACTTGATGAATTTGTCCATATTTGCAGTAATGTAGCCAATACAATGATTACAATATCATTTCTAGTCCCCAAAAAGTTCCCGCATAGTGCTTTGCAGTCACCTGCTTTCCTCACCTCCAGACCATTACCAACCACTGATCTGCTCTCACTCTAGCTTTACCCTTTCCAAAATTTAATCTAAATGGAATTACATATTATGTAGTTTTTTTCCATCTGGCATGTTTCCCCTAGCATAATGATTTTGACATTCATCCATGTTATAACCTATATTAATAGGTGTTTTTAAATTGCTTGGTACTATTCCTTTGTATGGACCTACCTCTTTTTTTTTTTAATGCATTCACCAGTGATAAGCTTTGGGTTAAGTTAGGGACTTTTATGAATAAAGGCTTGAACAGTTGAGTAGAAGTGTTTGTGTATCTGCTTATTTTTACAAGGTGAATTTACTAAATCATTACTTAAAAGTTTTTAAGAATAATCCTTGAATTTTGATGAACGAATTGATCACTTGTTTCACATACAATTTTCCAAATTTTTCTCTCTGAAATACAAACATCTCTATACGAATATTAATGGGATTTTATACTGCTATGCAACCCTTTTGTCGATCTAAAAATATACTGTGGACATTTTAAAATATCAATATTTATGAAATTAACTCATTTTAGGGGCTACATTCCCTTGTATGCATGTAAAATCACTTAGCTGATCTATCAAATTGCAAAATGTGCATCTTTTTTGATCCAGAAATTCTACTTCCAAGAATTTATAGAGGAGAATTTCCCTCACGTTTGCTATGTGGTACTTGTAAGATATTCAACTAATGTACATTAAGCATTGTTAGTAAACAATAGTTTTCTAGAAAAAATATTTAAATATTTTTGATCTTTCACATCTTTATTTCTATTATTTTTATACTGTTAGCTTATATGTAATTATATATGGCATATGTACTCATATTAGGATTATGTGTTTTTTTAATTTTTAAATGTAGTACTTTTTTCTTACATCATTGTTAATTTTTGGACAATGTATGATTTCTCCCCTCAGGTGTGGTCACCATAGTTCTCCCACCACCAGAGCACCCATACAGTAGTCCATCACCCTATTCCCTTGTGTTCTTCTTTCCTCCTGTTTTCACCCCTTCTTCCTCTCCCCTTCTGGATACCTCATATCTATGGTCAGTTTTCAAGGTTTGTCTTTGTCTCATCCTTTGGTTTTTCTGTATTCCACAAATAAGTGAAACCATCTGATATTTATCTTTTTCCTTATGACTTATTTCACTTAGCATCAATAGCTCTATCCATGTTGCCGCATGTGATAAGAGTTTATCTTTTTTGATAGCTGGGTAGTATTTAGTTGTGTATAGATACCACATCTTGATCCATTAATCCATTTTTGGCATTTGTTTCCCTATCTTGGCTATTGTAAATAGTGCTGCAGTAAATATAGAGTTGCAGGTTTTCTTTCCAGTTAGTGTATTGTGTTCTTTGAGTAGATTCCTAGGAGTGGAATTGCTGGATCATATACTAGATCCATTTTTCCTGTTTCAAGGACCCTCCACACAGCTTTCAATAGTGGTTGGACCAGATTACATTCCCACCAGCAGTGTAAGAGGGTTCCTTTTTCCTCCACATCCTTGTCATTACTTGTTTTTGTTACAGGTTTTTTTCTTTTAAAATATGGGCCATTCTCACCAGTGGAAGGTGGTATCTCATTGTGGTTTTGATTTGCATTTCCTTACAAGTGATGATGAACATTTGGAAAGAAGATTAAAATCCCCTTTTGTTTCTTTCCCTCACTGATTACTGGCCCAGATGTTCCAACTTTGCTTTTGCTTTGGTACAAATTTATAAATTCACAAGTGATAAATTAAGACTATAATTAGACCCATTGCCAGGACAATGATCTAATCTCTTCCTGAGATTGCTAACCTGGGTAGTTCTGTAGTTACTCATTCCAAATGGCACATTTTGCATGATTGAATTGAAAGAAAAATCTGCAAAATTTCAAAAAGAGTATTTTGCTAAGAGCTGCTAAGTAAAGCTTCTTTTGGTAAAACTGTCCTTTAAAAACTTTCATTTTTCGGGAGTGAACCTTAGCAATCAAGAACAAAAGCTTGATATGGTAATTTTGTAGACTACAGTGGGCTTACTCTCTACTTTTTAATTTCCAAATATTCCAGTAATAACATTATAAGCCAAGGTGAAATTAAATGTACAACATTTAAAAGAACAGGAAATGCAAAGGAAAAGCAATTTGATTTTCTGTAGTCAGATTTTTTTTAACTCTTTAAGCAATTTAATAGAATATCAATTTCTGTGTGAAGGTAAATATTTATTTTTGTAATAACAAAATGAGTTGTGGGCCTCCTTAATGGCTCAGGGGTTAATATCAATGCTATCAAGCTACTGCCAGCCACTGCAGCATGAGTTCGATTCCGGCCAGGGAACTATCCCCATGGCACAGTAGACCTCTCTTTAACTCGCCCACTGCTCTCCTCAACAGTGCATTTCAGTCAGTCTGCTTGTTCTACTCCCCATTCTGTCTCTGGTAAATCCTCTCACTCCCTCCCACCGGCCCGCCTCTGGCCTACACCCTAGTTCTTGTAGGCACAAATAAAAATAAATCTTTAAAAAAAAAAAAACCTGGGCCTCCCCGGTGGCACAGCAGTTGAGCGCTGGGTTGCGAAGATGCCCGCAGCCTCCGCAGCGCCGGTTCGATCGCCGGCTGCTCCCCAGCCACCGGAGGAGGGTCCCACATGGCATGTAGACCTCTCCTGCCTCCCGCTGCTCCCCTCAGCAGTGTACTTCGGTCCTTCTGCCTGCTCTGCTCCCCGCTCTGGCTCTGGTGAATTCTCTCACCCTCCTGCGCTTCTGACTGTACCCAGTGCTTGTATAAATAAATAAATAAATCTTTAAAAAAAAAAAAAAGAACTAAAAAAGTAACATTTCACTTTCTTTAAAAAACAAAACAAAAACCTGAGTTGTATGAATGCTGAGATCTTAGATATCAGTACTGTGTCAGATGTATATACAAATATTTTCTCCCATTCTGTAGTGTCTTTTTGTTTTAGTGACAGTTTCTTACAATGTGCACTTTTTAGTTTGATGTCCCAGTTGTTGATACTCTTGTTTCTCTTGCTGTTGGAAATGAATCTACAAAGGCATGGTAGCCTACGTCGTCTTCTATATATTGTGTGGCTTCAAGCCTTACATCTAAGTTCCTTATTAATCCTTCCAGAACAGAGCAGGGAACCTCTTCTGATACCATCTTCTCCTAGATCCGACAACTTATTTTTTAAAATGAACAAAATATTTTAACATACTTTACCAAAGATATACAGATGACTAATCAACACATGGAAAGATGTTCAACATTACTGGTTATTAGGGAAATGCAAATTAACACCCCACTGAGATAGCAATACAAGTTTATTAGAATGGCTAATATTAAAAAGGTGCTGACCATGCTATTCCACACCATTGCCTATGGAGGTGGCAGCCACCACCTAGATCATGGCTGCCCTCAGACCCTTTGTGAAGCTCAAGATCTTCAAGAAGGCCAAGTTCATCTAGCACTAGTGAGACTGACATGACAAATTTAAGGATAACTGGTGGAAACCCAGAGGTATTGATAACAGGATGCTCAGAAGATACAGAGGGCCAGGTCTTGACACCCAACACTAGTTATGGAAACAGCAAAAAAACAAGCACGGGTTGTGCAGTGGCTTCCAATGTTCTGGTCTACAATGTGAAGGAGCTCAAAGAGCTGCTGGCATGCAGGTTTTACTGTGCTGAAATTGTTCACATCTCCTCCAGGAACTGCAAAGCCATTATGGAAGGAGCAGCCTTGCTGGCCATCAGTCACCAATCCCAATGCCAGGTAAAGAAAAACAAATAGATGGCTTGTGCACATTGTTGTATGTTAATAAGACCATAAAACAGAAAGATTAAAAGGTCTGACCATACCACATGTTGGCCAGGATGTGCAGAAACTGTAATTCTCATAAACAGCTGGTGGAAACAAAGTAGGACAGCCACTTTGGAAAACAGTTTAGCAGTTTCTTAAAAAGCTAAATATTCACCTTCCATATGATCAAGCCATTGTATTCATATCAACCCTAGGTATTTCCCCAAGGGAAAATGATATATTTGTCTTATCAAAGACTTGTCCAGTGTTTACAGGCAGCTTTGTGATAGTCCAAAACTAGAAACAACCCAAATATCTTTCAACAGGTAAGTATATATGAACTATATTACACTCATATAATGGAGTAACTATTACTCAGCAATAAAATAAATGAACTATTGATATGTGCATCATAAGTGAATCTCAAAATCATTATGCTGAAAGAACTCGACCGAATCTCTGCACAGCCTCACTCCCTGGGTAAGTGGTTGACATGGGTTTACAAAGAAAAGATGAACTGTATTTTTTTCTTAGCATATTAAGGAATAAAAAAAGTACATACTGCATTCTGTATGATTCAATTTATATAAAACCCTAGAAAGTACAAAATTATACTAACAAAATAGAGATCAATGGTTGGGAAGCAGGTGGGGGGCATGGCAGAAAGGAATGCCAAGAAGGATGAGGAAATTTTGGGGGATGATGGCTCTGTTTCTATGTTCCTATCTTGATGGTTTTATGGATGTATTCAAATTATCAAAATGTGTATTTTAAATACGCAGCTCATTGTACGTTACATTATTGTATACTGTATATTATATACTGTATACTATATTGTATACTGTATCCAGTTATTGTATACTGCAATAAAGCTGTTCTTTGGAAACAAATTGTTGGGTTATACCACCAGACTGTCCTATTTTTAAAATATTTACCCATTTCACTAAGTTAAAATGTATCACCTATTGAAGTGTAAAAATTTATTCACTAAATGGCAAGTATGACAACTCCAAAATGTAAAGTTACCGTTTTTCAAAAGTATCTCAACCTAGAGACAACTTACATAACAATGTATTCATATACCTGTTGAACTGGAAAAACATGAAGGAGAACAAATATGAAGAATCCACTAAGGTTAGCTTTCTAATGGCTAAGCAGAAATGGTATTATGATGGCAAAGAGAATAGAGAAGTGAAAATAAACAGAACTCAATCTAGTGGTAACACTAGTAAAACAATGAGATTTATTATTATTAGACAATTAACTTGGAGAAAGGTGTAGTATAGCAAGTAAAAGGTAGTAGAAAAAGGCCTGTGTTCAAAAGTCCAGAAGTAATCCTGGAGAATAGGATACAACAGAATTCTACCATCTTTTTTGTTCAACATTTGTGCATCATGATAGGCAATGCCATAACTGCAAAAAAAAAAAAAAAAAAAGTCACAAACCTATTTTGTTAACCAACACTTAACTTAAAACTTGTTTATCTAAAATTTGAGTAATTGTGGGAAACATTTAGGAGTCATCACACTGTATCTTGCATGAAATTGCTCCATCCATTTCAAACAAACAGGGAAGGGTAATTGGGGAAAAAAATTTAGGAGCTCTACTTTATTAACAAATATAAATTTTTATTGATAATAAAAATAAATTCATATTCAAACAAGTTGCAGATGGCATATAAACACTGGCTATATGAGACATCAGATTATTTAGGATAATTTACTCGTTATGAGTTAATTTATTTTGCTATTTAAATGATATTTATCCATAGTAGAGAAGCTACTTGTCTTCTTCAACGATCTGTTTATAGAGGACTAATATTAGAAAGTTAGTACTTTTTTCCCCCAAGTTATGTTAAAAGGAGAAACTTTGGGTATATAAAAATAAATGATGTTATGAGCATGAAAACAAAAGGTTCATTTTAATGGGTACCTCTTAAATGTACTAAAATATTTTATAGCATACTGTGAAGGCTATTACTCAGTAACTTCAAAAAGGAATAGCCAATATGTTTTCTTATTAGCAAGTAAGTTAAAAACCCAAACAATCATATCTCATACTTACTTTTAAAAGGAGGAAGAAATAACACTTAAAGATTTAAGGTTTAAAAAAGTAGCAAATAGGGCCTCCCTGGTGGTGCAAGGGGTTAAGCACCGCACTATGAAACAATCCCCAGCCTCTGCAGCACCAGTTTGATCCCTGGCCAGCCAGGGAGCAACCTACATGGCACAGCAGACCTCTCCTGTCTCGCCCGCTGTTCCCTCAGCAGTGTATTTCAGTCAGTCTGCCTGTTCTGTTCCCCACTCTGTCTCTAGTGAATCCTCTCACACCCCTACATCTCCAGCCTACACCCCAGCTCTTGTATACATAAATAAATCTTAAAAAGAAAAAAGTAGCAAATAAATGATAATTCAACAATACTTTTGATTATTAACCTTGGATTCTACCACCCAAGGTTATCAGAACATTTTTATCAGAACATTTCATACAATCAGTACATAAAGCATGTAAAATCACTTAATTGATGTTATTAAACTGAATTATTCACCTGTTCATATTGAAGTGCACAGAAAAAGGTCTTCATTAGAATTTTCTTTTAAAAGGCAGGAAGTAAAGGAAATCCAATAACGTACAAGTTTCATGTACTATTCATTTTCTTTCAAGTATTCTAGTTCTACTCAGAAATAACACAAGGTATCCAAGAGTTTAAAATACAAGACCTTTAATTCAGTTTTTGATAATGACCATAAATGCCTTCACAAAACCTCTTTTTCACTCATAAGAGAAGGCACCAGGCATTACATAACACCCTGAAAGCAGTGATTCCTTCTGATGCTGGTGGAGATAAACATTAAATGGCAGGTTTTAGATCTTAATGTCTCCTAAAGAAAGGGGACAACTCTGAAAATCACACAAAAAAATAAGTTACCAGTCAGTATTTCTCAGGTTCCCAATGTAATTTTAAGTTATTTTTATAAGTACATAATTTGAAATTAATAAACTGATTAAGTATGATGGGGTTTTCAACATGTGTTGGGTTTCAGTTAAAAACAGTACATATGAAGGAATTATTAAGCTAACTGGTATCCTTTGCTACTCTTTAGTTGTGCAAAATAAAATTGAAATGATATATCCTGTAGTGGTATAATTTAAAATATCCTTGATATGACACATAACTTTCAAATTCAGGTCACAAACTGCATATAAATTGTTAAGATTATTAAAATACACCTTTTTGAAAAATAATAAGATGACCATTTATACCTAAATAAGGTTCCCCAGAAAGATAAGAAATACTTTAGCATATAAAAGTAGGTTCCCCTTTTCCATAAGGACAACTGTTGTTCACAAAATAACTCATATGATCCAAGGCAAATGATTTCTTTCAAATGCCATATTCTATGACTGAGGTATGCTTCAAGAGACGATATCCTTGAGGAAAGGGCACATTTGGGTATAAGACCACAAGTTACGAACACAAGGAGCCTTTTTTGGGTCAGGAGTGTTCTAAAGAGTTGTATTAACAGAAAACAAGAGATAGCTTCTGAAGCCATTTCTTTTACACATACATATAGCTAAATTTCATTATTTACTTGAGATTTACTCAAGATACAGCTATTTACATATGTGCTATGTCATGTGAGCCTATTTTAAATAGTGGCTTCTGCAGGATACTCCTATTCAAACACAAGCCAAAGAACTTTACCAAACCACAATCTTCTATTTTTGGCAAAGTAGTCTAGTTTAAAAAAAAAAAGAAAAAGATAAAAACAACAAAAAACTAGCTGAAATAGTGATTCAGGCAAAAGCTCCCATGTCAAACAATAGGAAAGTGTTCTGGGAAAAATTAATTTGGAGGGAAAAAAACTTACCAAGCAAATAATGTTAGAAATCATTCTACAAGCACTAAATGACTATCACATAAAAGGCTTATGAATGCCTTTCAAATAAAAATATTTGGTTTAAAAATTGTTGACTATGAGATTTATAATTAGAATTTCTTTGAAAAGTGTCCAACCTAATTAACTTATCCAATTAAGTAAAGGGTAAGAAGAAATAAATTCCTTCATAATTAATACTTGAGGCCTTCTTACCTTTGGAGAAATTGGTAAGATTAAATTTGAAAATGATACAGAAAATAATGAAATGAACCAGTAATGATAATTGGGGGAAAAAAGCTCCAAGCTCCTACTAATAAACTGGTAAGAGACAAAAACATATTTTTAAGTAATGATACTCAAAAGAATGCCTTATAAAATTACATATCATAATCAAGGAAAAGCTTCAAGACTAGCAGCTGGGTTTCGTGAAATACTAAGGACAACGGAAGGCACTACAAAAGCATTAATTACTTATAACTACAATTCAGTCTTTTCCTTCTTCTTAAGAAGATAGCCAGTGAGAATGTTACTTTTATATCCCCCTGAGTTTTAACATGATTGGGCAAAGCAGCACCAATTTAAAAAAATATCTGCAATGCCAGCACTGCAGTTTGGAATCACTTACACTGATGGCCCACAGGTCTCTCATAAGAGCACTTTAGAACATGATTAAAAATATACAAATGCCTTTTGGAGTTTCAGTATTAAAGTGGAACCACCACAGATACACATTTTTAAAAATAATGCACTAAAAAGGTCTGTATATACAGTAGAGTCAGTCTTTCCACCCTGTATCTAGCTTTCACAGCTATTTTCCACTCCAAGAGATCTCTTTTGTGCGCTTGGTTGAAATGTCAGTATGCTTCATGATGCACAATCCTCTTTGGCTGGAAAATTCTGGCAATGTCATGTCATGCCCGTTTTGAGCAGTATGCCTTGGAGGTCCTCTGGCAATGCTAAGATAATTGCATCTATGTGCGTCCGTAACTTTTCCACAGTCTCAGGTTTCACAGGTAAATGCTCTCGATCAGCCTGCAACTACATAAAGAATATTTGGAAGTATTTAAATTATCCTGAATCTGTATTAATATATATATTCTCTAAATACATAGTTTTAATAGTCTAACGATTTAGATCAGAAATTACAGAAACTGTAAAAAAGCAGAGAACATTCCATCTAAACAACACTCGGCTAAACTTAATAAAAGACTTCTATGTATATTAACAGGTAGCACCTGCACATACTATGCAGTGTTAAAATATAAGTAACAATGTTTGTCTTGTTTTGTGGTGCTCATTAGACTCCATGTAAATAATTTTTAAATAATATGGCATCATTATGATCTGCTTGCTCTACCATCCAGTTGACCAATGTCAAGTCTTCTCACTTAAAAAGTTAAGTCTGTAATATACCATTGTCATCTCAAATGAGAGGAAGATATTTTCACAGAAAAGTCAATTTAATCTTTCTTTGACTACATACCAGCTTATTTTTTAACTTCAATACAAGGTCTACTGTTTCTACTTCTGTGTGATTCTGTGTCCAGAGAAGTAAGTCCTGGAAAAATTAATAAATCCCAAATCAGCAAATACTCAGAATAATATTCAAACAGAATTATATCAATAGGGGAGGCTACTGGGGGAAAAAAAGAGTAGGAAAGAAAAGGAAAATAGGGTATTTAGCCCAAATATAGTATTACAATGCAAGAATAATTCTGTACATAATATTTTAAGAATGTTAATTAGATAATTTTCAACATAAGCCAGAATGACTATCTAATATTTGAAAGTAAAACATTCCTTTTTGAGGTGATTTTTTTTTTTAAAGATTTATTTAGTTATACAAGAGCTGAGGTGCAGGCCAGATATGCGGGAGGGTGAGAGGATTCACCAGAGACAGAGCGGGGAACAGAACGGGCAGACTGACGATATACACTGCTGAGGGGAGCAGTGGGCGAGAGAGGAGAGGTCTGCCCCGCCATGTGGATTTTCTCCCCTGGCTGGCCAGGACTGAACCCGCACTGCAGAAGCTGCAGACAGCTTCACAGTGCAGCAGTAAACCACCTACGCCACCAGGGAGGCCCAGAGGTGATCTTTTTAGATTAATCAAGAAAACAAGACTGTAAATCCAAAGTCCAATACTAATTCTCATCCCCACCAAGTAGTGACTACTTTAAAAGGAATGTTAGCTAACAAATCAAGATAGCTAGGAACATGAATATATTACTGGACATCAACTTTGCATCTTCATAGAAGTTCTTTTTGGGTTTATTTGAAGTTGCCTTCATTGTATGCCTTCTCTCAAAATCACAATCATTGGGAGTTTATGACTAGAAATTTATCACTGAATTTTATGGGGATTACACCTGAGAGGAGAATGAACAATGACATAAAAAATATATAAATTAAAAAAAAAAAAGTTACCACTTTGCTAGTTCACTTTGCACACTTTGCACAAGCTAATGCATATGAAAATGATACTATCCTTAATATTTTCACAAGTAGCTTAATTTAAAATAGTCTGGTGATAAATTACGGGATATAAAAAAAGTCAGTCCAAATAAAGAAAAAAATGTTAGTATGGGTGGAAAAGATAAAGGTTGCTAGAAAAGATATGAAGTTAGATTACTTGATTTTGAATCCTAACTCCATACAGTAGTATGCTTGTAAATATTTAACAACTAGTTCTCCAAAGTCTCTGGTTTGTAGCACTTGCCAATTTCTATGGTATAATACTCTTACAGTAGCTAATTTCAAAATACCAACCTGAGATCACCAAGATGCATATAGTAAGTTCTTGTGACCCTGTACAAGTGGGATCTAGCACACTGTCAGCTCCCTTACATAGCAATGACATGATCTGAAACAAATCACTTAACTTAGAAGCCTCAGGTAGCCCATAATGCAGGTCATAATATGCCTATTTCAATGAACTGTTGTAAAGATCAAACTCCATTATCATTATAGAGCACCTACACACAGTTCTTGCATAGCACATGATTAGAAAAGTTAGCTACTATTTATTAAGTAGTGTATATGGGTAAAATTTGCCAGAGTCTAAGGATTTTATCATTAATTTTAACAGTGGTTAATCATCATACAAACATGCTATTTTCTAACCTCTTCACAAAGAGCTTCTAGATGAAGAGCCTCCAATTTCTGGGTCATTTCCTTCCGCCGGGTCTTAAACCAACCATCGAAATTTGGTGATTTTAGAAAATGCCTATAAAAATAAATTTTGAAAAAGCAAAGTTTCATTACAACTTACTTCCTTTCCACCATACCTTTCCAATTATAGCCCAGAGAAGCAAGTAAAACAATGGTATTTTTTAAAGAATATAAGCTTAAAAAAAAAAAATATAGGCTTAAGTCCAGTGTTTTGCTTTGTTTTGTTTTTAGATCAAACTCTATAGATGGTGAAAGAGAGAAAACAAAGACTAACCGATAAAGTCCAATCCAATCGCCTTTTATCCTAGAAGTCAGCTGAGGTCCTGTTTTTTCAAGTGTTTTCATAAATTCTTCTGGAAGAAACTGTCTTAATTGGGGTGGACTCTAGAAAACAGCACATACTGTACTTCAAAATTAGAAATGGATATATGCACAGAAGTTAATTACCATTAGAAAAATTCAAATGGGAATTTACTTGAATGTATATATACCTTCCATGGAGAAATACTTTTCTGCAAAGGCATCAAGCTTGCCACATATCTTTCCTAAAACCAAGAAAAAAGTCAATCAAAGTTAGGTGTCCTTACCAGAGTCAATAATGAAAAATGTTTAACGGGCCTACTTAATAGAAATGGGTTTACATATTTTTCATCATATATTCTTTCAATGGATATCATGAACACCATCAATTCCCACAATAAATACTGCTAAATTTAGATTGAAGTCATATTTTCAATAAAAATTTAACTAAATCTCAGATAATTTAAGGGACTACATGTATTTAATGATGATTAACCTTACTGAGTAACTATGTGCCAGAAACTAAACTCAACATTTCACATACATGGACTCTTTTAATCTGTGTAACTCTTCTATGTGGCAGATAGTTGAGACTTCAAACAATGGCTAAGTAACCTGCCCAAAGTCAAACAGTTTGAACCTGAATTCGGTACTAGTTGACTTCAAGCTTAAGTGTTCTTAAGCACTATGGTTAAGTTCATTTACTTTTAAAAATGGGTTTAAATGGAACACAATTAACTGATATCCAATAGGTTAAGAAAAAATATTTTCTTTTTTTTTAAATAAAATAGCAAACACCTCCAGACTAGGAACACATCACCATAATGCCTGATATTGTGAGGCACCTTTTAGTAATTTAATAGGATATGTGACCGAATTTCATAGGGTAACCATATCATGCAGTCATTTATTCCATAAATATTTATTAAGTGCTACCAAATAGCAGACTGAGGAAAAGACAAGAAGACAGGTAAGTCCCCATCATCACGGAGCCCTATCTTGTGGCTATTAAATCAAATTGTGCATGGGAAAATATTATCAAAGAAAGCTCCAGGATAACCTCTTGGTTTTTTTTAAAGATTTATTTTATGCATATAAAAGCTGGGGTGTAGGGCAGAGGTGCAAGGGGGTTGGGTGTGAGAGGATTCACCAGAGACAGAATGGGGAGCAAAACAGGCAGACTGACTGAAATACACTGCTAAGGGGAGCAGCAGGCGAGACAGGAGAGGTCTGCTGCGCCATGTGAGTTAGCTCCCTGGCTGGAGATCAAACTCATGCTGCAGTGGCTATGAAATTGCTGAGACTTAAACCCTTGCACCACAGGGAGGTTCAGGATAACCTTTTTGTAAGGTGAAAATTTCAATGACTATGTATTTCACAACAATAATCTCATTTAAGATCCACAAGAACCCTAAAAGGTATTTAGGAAAAGTGAAACTAGCCACATTTAACAGATAAAAAGGTTGAGGGTTGGATAGGAAGTCACTTATCAAAGATACACAGCTAATAAAAGAACAAAATGTCCAGGTCTCATGAAAAGGGTTATTTTATTTTTTTTAAGATTTATTTATTTTATGCATACAAGAACAGGGGTACAGGCCAGAGGTATAGGAGGTGAGAGAATTCACCAGAGACAGAGTGGAGAACAGAAAAGGCGGACTGACTGACACTGCTAGGGGAACAGCGGGCGCGACAGGAGAGGTCTGCTGCGCCATGTGAGTTAGCTCCCTGGCTGGGGATCGAACTCATGCTACAGTGGCTGCAGAGAGCTTCACAGTGCTGAGACTTACCCCCTTGCACCACCAGGGAGGCCCAAAAAGGGTTATTTTAAATCACTAAAAAGATGGGCAGGCAAAACTCAAAACTTAAGGTTTTAGATGGAAAAAACATCATATACACTTCAACAAATCATTAAATTAAGCAAATGTGTATGCTGACTTACCAATGGAATGATGAAGCTTTGTGTCAGTTCCAAAAAATAGCGTCGAAGAATAACACTTTGAGCCTCAGAAGGACGTTTCTGTTGTACACCCTTAAAAGAGGAAACAATGAAAACCTATATCCTAGGATCAAGGATTATAAAACAATGGATAATTATAAAAGTGCCACTGATATGTAGATATATACTTTTACTTGATATTAAAAAACCCAAGCACTTTTCATCTTGAAGAACTTTAATCTGAAGTTCACTGTGTAATATCCTATAAAGAAAATCCCTAGAGGAAAACATAAGACATTCATCCCATACTTGAAATATCAGTTCACAATAAAGGATATCTTTATTTCATGCTTCAGTATTCATACTGTTTACATTTTCTAATAAATACTAACCCAGAACCTTTTTCACTATAACTCCCAATCTTCTAGACTGCAAAGTCTGGAGCTGTAGCCATGTAATTCAAGTCCATAGTTGTTGCTACTTTCATATTCTGTTTTTTATGAAGCTCTAGCTCAAATGCAAGATCTCATTTCACATTATTTTACATAAAGCACATATTGTCTGACTGGATAGTGCATACCTGAACAAGGAAATTAAGTAATATGAGCAAGCAATTACCTTCTGTAACTGTTTTATGATTTCTTCATCTCTATTTAGATATGGCTTATAAGAAGTGTAAACTCCTAAGAAGAAGAAAAAAAATAAGGTAAACAGTAAGACCCAAGTACACATATAAGTATAGATTTAAAAAATAATAAAAGTCAATACCAGGTTTAGAATCCAGAGTCTTCAGGTTCTTTAATTTTTTCACTTTAACTTGCTTAGGAATTTCACCTGAAGGAAATATGATAAAAATTAGTCTAAAATTATTGAATTTCCACATACCACAAAAATAGAATAGTCTAAGATTCATGAGCTACTGGCTATTGATCATTAGCTAAACTATTTCTTAACATCAATTAATATTTATTAATGTATTCCTGGTACTTAAAGGGATCACTAGATTACTACAGCACTGAAGAAATAATTTGTGCCTCTTAATTAGATACAATATGGTAATGCTCATCACTTCAATAAAAATAGTTTGCATAAATTACATAAAATGAATATTTGATTTTTCATTAATACCTACCATTAATTAAAATTTTCCCTTTTTGTCACTCAACTTATAATTCAAAATCTTTGTGCCATGTATACGAAATGAAATTTTATGTGGCAAATATGAACAAAACATCTTAAGTAAATGGAATTGAAAGCAACTCTTAAGTTGGTATGCAGATGTAATATTCAAAGGTTTTTTGACATCTCCCCAGATTCTGCTTTTGACTGTAGAAACTTACACTGCCACCAGGTGGTGACAGTGTAAGCCAGAACCACAGCAAACTACACTGGACATGGCCTCCAAACAGGGTCACTGTGAATAACTTACATAGCATATACAATGGCCCTGGTCTTGAGGACAACAGAAGTTACAACCCAGCAACCCTTCTATTTGGAAGAAATATGTCCCAAGAGAAACACTTAGAAGTGTTGTAAGTACACTAACTTAACAGACTTTCTCCATTGTCCTCCTCTCTGCGTAAGAGAACCTAAGACCTGAAAGACAACCTAGAGATTATCTAATTCAAGTCTCTAAATTTACAAAGGGCCTCCCCGAAAGTACCTTTGTTTAAATCATATAGATCAAGCTGCTAACTGCAGTTGTCATAGGAGTGTAATTGTAGAACAGCATTTTCACTTGTAATCTTATTCTGTTAAAAAAATTTAAGAGCATGTACTATGGTAAAACTTTTTTATAAACTTTTTTACTTTGAAATAAATTCAATCTTACAGAAAAGTTGCAGAATAATGTAGTCTATACTCCAATTTTATCAAGTGCCCTAATAATAACTTTAAGTAGATACTTGTTAAGGAAGTCAGTAATACAAATACACATTTATTTTTTTCATTGATTTATAAATATTAGCAAATGTGAGATACTGGTAATAAAAGAAATAATTACTGATACCAAGAAGTTCCCAATCTGGGAACTTAACCCTTGTGGAATAGAGGTTAAGTCTCAGCACTATCATAGTGATGGCCTGAGTTCGATCCGGGCCAGGGAGCTAACCTACATATGGCACAGCAGATCTCTTCTGTCTCATCCACTGCTCCCCTTAGAGTATTTCAGTAAATCTGCCTATTCTGCTCACCACTCTGTCTCTGGTGAGTCTTCTCACACCCTTACAACTCTGGCCTATACCCCAGTTTTCTATGCAAAAATAAATCTTAAAAAAAAAAAAAGTTCCCAATCTAATGGTAAAATAAGGCAAATAGCAATACAAGAGGATATATGTTGGAAGAGATTTATAAACAAAATACTACAGAGCTATAGAAGAGTATCCCAAAGAGGAGTGAAAAAAGCACTGAGGATTCCAAAAGGAGATGATAGTTAAACAGTCTTGTACGAGGAATAAAAAGTTGTTGAGAGGAAAAAAAAAACCTTTAAAGTAAACAGCTAAATCTGTAAGTATGAAAATGCATGTTGCTTAAGGAGGTCAGATAATGGGCACCGTTAACTCAGTATTTACTCTGTGCCAGGTTCTGGTCTAACAGTACTGCAAGAATTATCACACTTAAACTTCACAATAGAAGTACCTTTTATCACCCATTTCATAGATGAAAAAACTGAGGCATGGACAAAACTGACATTCACTTGGAATGCAGCAGAGGCCATTCATCCACTCTGAATGGTCAACGCCCCACTCAAACAGGTTATTAGGTCTATCATAACTTGGCACAGAGATAGCTTTTCCAAGTATAAAATGTTTGAGTCAGGATAAGAAGGAAAACAGTCCAACTCCAAAGCAACCACTTTTAACCACAACACTATAAAGGCAGGAATGAAACTACAGAGTTAATCAAGGGTCAGATCAACGAGAACTATTAAGGCGTCTGACATAAGGTAATTGAAAGACTGAAAGCATGGGCACAGAAAGTAGTGAATGAGCAAAGTAAGATTACAGGAGCAAACCTGCATTTAACAGACTCATTGCCACCAGGTGGTGAAAGTATATGCCACAGCCACAGATAGGTCTGAGCTACAGATCAACAGGGTTTCTGAGCAGAGCTGCTATGTTTCACAAAGGAGTTTCAAGTGAAAGAGAAGAGAAGATAAAATATATGCACTGCAGAGTACTGCTCCAGGCTAAAACAACCTAAAACAAGGCGTGTACAGCTGGCAAAGAAAAGAGAGTTCTGAAGCTCCAGAGACAAATAAAACCAAAAGGCTTTTGGGACAGAGAGAACAGAAGTCCAGAAACACTCAAATTTCTGAAATGTTTTTGATTCACTAGTCCTCAATTTAGTCTATTCCCATCTACTAATTCTAATGAGAATATCTCTCATCTTGAGGCTTATGCTGTCATTTTGCTTGCTAGAGTTCAAAGTAGTTTTTCATTGTAAGATTTATAAAGGGCCTCCCTGGTGGTGCACAGGATAAAGTCTCAGCACTATAAAGCTATCCGCAGCTACTGTAGCACAAGTTCGATCCCCAGCCAGGGAGCTGACCCACATGGCATAGCAGACATCTCCTGTCTCGCCCACTTCTCCCTTCAGTAGTGTATTTCAGTGCTCCCCACTATGTCTCTGGTGAATCCTCTCACGCCTGCAACTTTGGACTACACCTCAGTTCTTGTATGCATAAATAAATAAATAAATAAATAAATAAAATTTTTAAAAATGAAGAAAAAAATTTAATAGCTGCCAGGAGGAAGGAACTATATGGCTCTTCTTCAAGGAAAGCACAATCTTTAACCAATTCTGTGATCAACCAGTGCCACAGAAAGGTATAGTACTTGTTTGTTTTTTTAAAGATTTATTTATTTATACATACAAGTACTGGGGTACAGGCAAGAGTTGTGGGGGGTGAGAGAATTCACCAGAGACAGAGTGGGGCACAGAACAGGGAGATGTGCTGAAATACACTGCTAAGGGGAGCAGTGGGCAAGACAGGAGAGGTCTACTGCACCATGTGGGTCACCTTCCTGGCCGGGGATTGAACTGGTGCTGCCAGTGGCTGTGGGTAGCTCCATAATGCTGCATCTTAACCCCTTGTACCACCAGGGAGGCCCCAGTATAGTACTTGTTTTAAGACACAGTCAAGAATTTTGTAGCAAGTTGAATAATCTAAGCTTTTGTAAGGTTTTCCTAAAAAGTGCTAGAAATCTCTAATTGCACTTACACACATACAAAAGTAGCTCAAATTTTTGAGGTTTCGCTGTAATTCATTTAATGTCTATAACACTGTGAGTGGATTTTTGGGTAGAAGGATGTGATGGGTTACACATAATAAAGCCAGTATATTTTAATGAGAAGTTTATACTCTTCTCCAAGGGTCCTTATTCAGGTTGTCTCAAAGAAGGTTGTAATGAACATAATTAAAAAGAAACCAAGAGATGAAGGCAAAGGGGAAAAAATAAATCTGTTCAGCCACATTACACACTTAAAATAGAACATTGAGTTTATACTTTACCTGCAGGTTTAAGGTCTCCTATTCGAATAATGTGTGGCCAGTGCTGAAGTGTTTTAGCAAAAAAGGGATTGGTTACTCCTAAAATGACTGAGGGCCTACATAAAAACAAAACAAAAACAGTGAGAAAAAGATGAATGTTCCATCAGTAAAGACTAGCTTATAATTTCTTTTGAGTGAACAATAAATAAGATTATCTTTCCTTTACTCGATATATTCCATGTCAACTACATACCAGCCATCATGTTTAGCACTAGGCATATAAAGATGAAAAGACATGACCCCTCTAAAAGTACACAAGAAAAAGGGTATGCATATCCAATTACGATGCCAAAAATTAAAGACAATGGAAGTAGTATAAATGTACAACATTACAAAGAAGAAACTATCAGGGGACTGGAACAGCCTCACCAAAGTGGACATCTGCACAAAGATATAAAAGATTAGTAGTTCTTTGTCAAGTAGGTAAGGGAGGTAAAGGTGATATAGGAGAATGAATAGTATGTGCAGAATAATGAAGTGGGATCATGGTCTGTTTGTAGAATTACAAATATTTCAGTATTCCTACAGCAAAATGTAGAAAGGATGAATAGTCAGAAATGAGAGTAGATGGACAGATGCTGGCAAATAATTAAGTTCCAAATTACATAGCAATATGTTAAGAAGTTCAAATTTTATCTCACAGGCAAAAAGAGAAACTGAGTGGAAGAGTGCCACATGAATAAAAATGTACTTATTAGAAAAACTATGAAATTTAAAACAGAATGGGGTTCAGAAAAAAGCAACAGGAGATAAAATAGACTAGAGGTGAAAGTCGGAGAAAGGAGTGTTAGAAAGAAGATAACAAATTTTACGAGGTATTTTAGGAAGATGAATTGACAGAATTTGATAAAACCTGATGTGAGGCATGTTAAGAGAAAATTTATGTTTTTCATAACAAAGTGAAAAGTAGTACCATTTATGAAAATAGGAAGAGGTGTGAGATTATAGAAGAAAAGAGACAAGAAGAATTCAAATGAAAAAAAAAAAAAAAGAATTCAGTTTGAACATATTTAGTTTTGGATGCCATTAAGATGTCCCAGTGGCAATGTGTTAAAAACCAACAACATGTATACATTGGTCTGGACCTTGAAAAGATTTAGATTAAGAAGATAAATTTCATCCCTCGGTATACAGACATTAACAAAGGCTATAGATACAGAGTAATTTGTACAGAAAGAATTATCAGTCTGAAATCAGATCCCATAACACAATACTGGAGAACACAAATGTTTAAGGTGATGGCAGAGAAGAAACAACTGCACAGGAGACTGAGATGCACCACTAGACAGTCAGGAAACAGTTTATCAAGGATTAAAATATTTTCAAGGTCAACAACTTAAATGTTACAAAAAAAAAAAAAAGGAGACAGCAATAATGTGCAAACTGGTTCAGACAGTAAGAACGGTCTTGATGACCTTAGCAAGGCCAGCTTCATTTGAAATAAAGAAACCAACCTTCAGTAGATTGAGAAGCAACCAGAAAATCAAGGGTTAGAGACACTAAGTGGAGATTTTGCTATTAATTGAGAAACTTAGCTATGAAAATGAAGTAAGCAATGGGACAAGACCTAAAAGGGAGTGGGGAAGATAATGTTTTTCCCTCTCACAAATTGGGAAGAATTTTCATGTTATACGCTGAGTCAATGAAGAGGAAGAGGAAAAAGAAGGTCACAGAGCAAAAAGATCACTGATGCCATAAAACGGACTGAATAACAGAATGACAATACAGCCTCCATTAATAAAATCATTGAAAGAAAATGATTCTTGAAATGTCCAGCAGCATCTCAAAACCTTACTTTGTAAAATCAAACTGCCAATAAGTTCAAAATTTAAACTTTTAAATTACCAAAAGCAATCCCACATAATTGTTGTTATAAATTTAGCAAATGCTAGGTAGAAGTTATTCTGTTTACTCACGGGGCTTGAGTACGAGTAGTATATTCTTTGAATTCACTATCATGAATAGTGAAATAAGGTCGGAAATCACTGAAGTACTTTAATGGAGAAATACAGCTGTGAAGCAAGAAGAAGGTGTAAAACAAAGAACACAGAAATTAAAGGCCTTACTCAATAACTTAAAACATATATACACACATATTTTACTCCTCAAGGGATAAATAACTTTTCTATCTAACTAAATGAAAAGCTTACTTCAAGAAACTAGAAATACAAATGGAAACACAATGCAGAATAGCATAGTGAAAGAACACGACCTGAAGCAGGAGATGGGGTGAAATTTTGGCTCTATTACTTATTAGCAATATGCCTTTTATCAGACACTGACCACTCACACAACTTCCAGTAAGTGAAAGAATGTGCTTGTTACTCAGAACAACAAAAACATGGTTCTGACACTCACAGAGCCTGAATTAATTTTCTTATCCATAAAATGGTGCTATAGAACACTACTTTCTTACAGGCCTATTGTGTGGATCAATGCAAAGAATGCAAGCATTTTACAGATAGAAAGTGCTATAAATATCACCATTAAGAATCAAGCACACTCACTTAATAAGTGCCAATACAGTCTCTGATGACTCTGATGGTGACGGAGCCATGACCACAAGGGGCTCACCCAAGAGAACCAGCTCCCAAAGCATCTGACTGTGAAAGAAAACTGGGCAGAAACACCTGGAAGGTGTTTTCACAATAGAAATATTGTTATTTATCCAACTCCTTTGGCTAATAGATAATAAAGTTCCTATATAATCATTCTAAAAAGTTCACGGTATCAGTTCTTCCAGCAATGTGCCCCTTCATTTATAATACAAATTCATTTAGAATATGGTAACACAAATAGGTAAGTCCCTTTACCCACATAAAAATATGTAACAATTTCACTCATTCCAATTTTTATAAAATTAAATGCAATATATTGAACAGACAGAATAGCTAACAAATAATAAAAGCATATAAAATAGTTACTTATTGTACATCTATTTTATTGATATTGCTTTGTTCCATTTGAAATTGTATTCTAATTTGAAGGAAAAAATTAAAGTACTTGTCTATTTAAAAACCACAACCAATCCACCTGTTGAAAATGCACACATATATAAGAAATGAAGGAAGGGGGAAAATATGTAAGTGCAAAAATGCAACAAATCTGTGAGACAGAAGTTAGGTAAAGTTGATTTTAATATTCAAAGTCAAGAAGACAAATGTGAAGGGAGTATAAAACAAAACAGTTTAAGGATGAGGCAAAAGAGCTTTTCTTCCTCTTTCCTTCCTAAACAATTCAATTCTAAATCAGAACACAGAGCATGGTAGGCATCTCTGCTAAGAGGAAAAAAGAGGGCCATGCTAACTCAGAGGGAGGTGTCAGGGCTCGTGTGAAGGAAGTGGTTTGCTGTGGGGCTGTTTCAGTCCAAATGTGGTGAAGAGGTGTTTATGTGTGGGGGTGATCTGGTTTACAGTGACAGAGTGAGTGTGAGAAGCACAGAGAAGCAATCTGGTATGGAGTGTCAGAGCCTCCAGAGTAGGTTGAGGAGGCTGTCCATAGTGAGGTATCATAATGGGATGAGGGTGTCTCCATGACTGGTGATCTGGAGCAAGACTTAAGAGCATGAGTATGATAAAGAAGGCATTCACGTGGGGTAGGCGTGGCATCCAGAGTCAAAGCACAAGCAGGATGAAAATGGCATCCATATGAAGAGGTGGTCTAGTGTGGGATATAGGATTATGAATGGGGCAGAAGGGTACCCCACATGGGGTTGATTCAACAGATGAAGCAGAGCCTAAGCAGAGTATGGAAAGTATTTCACTCCAAACAAAAAATAATTTGTTTCTATCATGAAAGTCCCAATACACATCTAAATAACTTGTAGCCAGGGATGAACCACTGATTTACAAAATATGAAATATAGTAACTATATTCTTCCACATCTCCTATAAGAAGATTCATTTTGTAAGGAAATTAACAACAATATCACAAATCAAAAGAGAAAAGGATGTTAACAAAATTTTTTTATTATTTACCGAAAAAGATCCACCTCATGAACAGTAGGTAAAATAACAGATATGTGTGTGTCTCCCTAAGAAATAGAAAAGAAAAAATAGAGGTGTCATTAAAATTTACATAAATTGATTTTTGAAATATGCCTACTACACCATCAATAAATCAAATTGCTCTATCTCTTAAAAAGATTCTTTTTCTGAATAACAGTAAGAAAGAAAACATCAAAATCAACAAACAACTATGAACCAGAGACACACTATGGGGGGTGGCGGGGAAAGGAGGGATTGGGGTCAAAATAAAAGGGGTACAACTGTATGGGGAATATAAAAATAAAAAAAAAAAAATTTTAAAAAGAGATTCTTTTTCTCTAATCTCCCTTAACAGTTCTTACAGATCATTCATTCCTAAACATAACGGGAAAAATTAGTTTTCTTATTACTTTTATTTTTATTCAATTCAAGAAACAATTGGAGTGATAATATACCAATTAAAACATTTCCAATGAAAAATTCAACTCTAACTATTAGCAGATGTAGCTTTGAGAAAAACAAAAGGTGATCATAACTACAGAATCTTTTCTGCTGGTTTCCTAAAAACAGAAGTCTGCTGATCACTTCTCTAAGAGGTTTTGCTAGAATTAGACCTTGCTGAAAAAACTATTTACTTTCTCTTTGCCTTCACAATTACAGTACAATCAACAGGATCTCCCAAAGGAAAAAAATCTAAGTAAGCATCCTACTTCATAAGAGTTAGGAACTTACTGAGCAGTTAAAAAATGAATAATGAAATATTTCGGTAATATTCAGAAAAATACCATAAACCCAAACATTTGCTTATTTAAAAACTTCTGTTAAAAGAGATTATATGAGCTAAGTTATAGGGTACCACACTACCTGCTGAGTTAACTGCACTATTTGAGTGGTCCCAGGCTTGTCATGACATGTGGGAATCCGTACCTTAAAGAGAAGAAGAAAAGAAATTAACTCTGGCTGCAAAATAATGTCCTTTTTATAATTTACAAGTCTTAGAAGGGCCTTATCCTGCCACTACAAAAGTATATTCAGTATGGATAAAAAGTCATAAAAATAAAATATTTATGTCAGATTAAAAAACTAGTCATTTATTTTTAGTCACAGAATAAAATTAAGTTAACCTAGGTCTCCATAGCCCCATACACAGAAATCACTAATATAGTGAGGAGCAACTGTGTTGAAAAATGGAAAAAGGACATCAACTTCATACTGCTTCCTGTTTATTGTTCCAATCTGCTTCATTACTATACACACCCAAACACACCCTCTCAAGCTTTCCAAACTATGGGATAAATCTCACAGAAGCCATGAGAACTCTCAAGCTGGAGCTCTGTGTACTATTTCATATTTACATTTTCTCAGGGAAAAACAAAATACAGATTACAGACGAGAGCACATCTAAAGAGAATGCATTGCTAAAAATAAGCCCAACCTGAAAATGAATAGTAAAAGCACATAGAACCTATTCACACACAGTTTGAAAATAAGATACTAATCTTTTTAAAAATTTTAATCAAGAACAAATTCCTGGAATGAATACATTTGGTCTCACATTAAAAGCTAAACCATTCAGGACAAAGAACCAATGATTTTCCTAATTTCTTTTAATTTTTACTAATTCATCCTTGTTCCCACAAGGGTTCTCTTTCTGCCTACCACCCATCTCTGGAAAGCTATGGTGTTACAGAATCCTAGGAGGTGGCATTTAAGTTCACATGTATTACATAAGAATGATACGCTCATGCAAATTCACAAGATAACACAGGACGGGGAGCCCCTGAAGTTGTGTGAAGAGTGGTTCTGTACAGGAGGAAGAATTGTGGTATCACTGCAACTCCTCACATTAAGGTAAAAAAGTGAAAGCAATAACAGGATTGAGTGTTATTAGGAAGTTAAAAAGCATAACTCGTGTGAACTTTCTTTTTTAAAAAAACAAACAAATGAAACATAAACTATTACCTTCATTACCACCCCCATAATAGGCAAGTGTAATGTTTTCCCTGGTACTGGGGCAGGCCATCGATCAACATCATTACAAGCTGAAAAATATTTAAAAATAACCCTTAATATAAGTGAAAATAATAAAATGTGAAAAAAGGGACACAAGAAATTAGAACTCTACTTTCTATTTTGTATAGATCAAAAAAAAAAAAAATACTAGGAAAGGTGGTCAATAAAAAATTAGAGTGAAAGTATCTTTTTTTCATCAGGAATATACCTATATTCTAGGATTGGCAAATAAAACTTGGGAAAGCAACAAAATTATAGGTTGTTTAAAGGGAGTTTTCCTATACATTTATTAGCACTAAAATTAACTACAAAAACATACCATTTGACAAGGGCCTTCCCTCTGTATTGAGTGACATAGGACCTCTGTTTAATACTCTGAGTATTAGAAATGTCTACTCAATACTTGTTTCTTATTAGCTTTATAAATAGATATCCTCTATGTTGCAAAAAGGAGTAGCAAAAGATAAGGTTTTTAGTGTTTGTAGGTAAAAATGCCAGAATAATTTTATACCTCTCTCCCACTATATAGTCCTTAAAATTCTTAACTGGTACTTTAGGAAACTTCATTTTTATCACTAGTTTCCAATAAAAAATTTAAAACTCCTTCATAAAGGTATCTAATTCATATGCTTTTAAACTTACCCGCTTCCAAATAAGGTTCACTCTTTTCGAAATATTCTGGGGCTATCTGTTTGAGCACGGTGTGAAAAAAATGAATATAAGGTAGTTTGCTGATCAAAACCAAGGACTAGAAGGAAGAAAGAAACAATGCTTCTAAGTTTTCTTATGATTATAATTTAAGTATGTTGTTTCTTACACAATTACAAATAAATTCAGCAAAGGGTGTGAATTTTGAAATAATTTTTTTTACAGTGGATAGTTGAAAGAACACATGAAACTATGCAAGCAGTTTTACCTGCTATTACTAAACTTTAAAAGAATAAAAACATATTCATAGATTTTCCTGTTTTTCAGGAAAAAGAATTTGCTAACAAACAGACTAATGTCTTAGATAACTTCTGAAATTTAGCTATTAATGTCAGCAAAGCAATTTCAGGAATGATGAACTCTTTCTATTAAGGAAAGAACAAACTGTGATGCCTTTCAAACTAATATCTATAGCTATTAAATTTTTAGAGTTGAATTATCACACCAAATACTTAAAAATTGTAACTACAGTTTGATCACTTCAGATATATACTATTTTGATTTATTTGTGATGTATTTTACTTTCTTCTTTTTCCTTTTCTTTCCTCCAAAGTAGTTTTCTTTTAAAAAATAGTTTTTAACCTTCAACCCAGCATTATTAGTGATCAGGGCACATTCTTGGTTACAAAAAGTTAAAGGTAAGTCCCTGTTAGCTGGGATTAAATCAAAACAATTATTTTTTTCTTTTAAGAAAGACAAGTTTGTACAGTTAAAGAGGAAACGGTAATCACTAAGGTGTTGCTAAAGTATATTCACTAGCTCTTAAAAAAAAAAGATACTGCAGGTATTTATTAACTAATAATATAATCTGTTTTTTCTCTTATTGTAAAATGTGAAAATTAAGAAGATTCTTCTGACTTTTGACAGTTTTATGTAATAACTGTAAATTACTGTCAGGACTCCAGCACAGAAATAGGAGAAAGGCAAAATTCAGTGGCAGTTAATCTATAATCTACAAAAACAAAATATAAATTCTAGTATGTTAAAGATAAAATATAAAAAGTTTTAAAGTGGAAACATTTGTTTTCTCTAATCACAATATAAAAATACTTTTTCTATTAGTGACATGAAAATTACCTTCTGAAAGTAGCCTCTTTTTAGAGTTTTATCTCGAACTTGTCGGAAATACACATATCCATAAAAATAAGCAGGATCCTTCTATGAAAGAAGTGATTCGTTGATTGATAAATCAATATACAAACTGCCACCCTTTAATATTAATTTATAAATTCAAACTGATAAATTAGGTAAGCACAAAGAGCAGGTTACACTTTTCCTCCAACACAAACAACAATGACAATAAATTCCAGAAAAAAAACTCACTAACTTGCCCAAAGATGAAATAATCATAACTAATGTACTAAAGTCAGCTTCTTCCCCCTATAACTCACTCAGCTTATGTTTACTCTATTATAGCTATAGAGGTCGGAAACAATCAATTTCTGTGGTTTCCCAACATTATAATAGTTGTTGTTTTTTTAATCTACCCATAATTTGGGGTTTATAAAGTCCTAGGGATCAGTCTTAACAAAATGAGGCATCTTAATGTAAAATTTCAAGAGAGGGGAGAAAAAAAGTTAAATGCCAAATGGAATCTTACATAACAAGTTATATTTTTACCCAATAATAATGAAATATTAGAATGTTCATAAATGTACAATTTGAAAGAAATTAAAATTAAAAAATGTCTTAAATTTACATTCCCCTAAACTTAGGACATTTTTATATCCTAATGGAATAAACTCCGGCTCAGTTCCTTATTTGATTGCTATTATTTAAACAAATATTTGATAGCCACCTACTTTGAACAAGGCATTGTATTAGAGAAGATAAAAAGATGCAGAAGACACGATTCCTTAAGAAAATCGAAATCTAAGAGGGGTAAGAAAAGTACAAAAATGACTATTGTGTAATAGGATGACAGGTACCATGAGGAAAAGCACAAGTTATTACAAAGAGGCCAAGGAGGAAGAGATTACCTCTGTTTGTAGAGATCAGTTAAGACTTCATAGAAGGAGCTATTTTTGAATTGTGCATTGAAGGATGGATATAATTTAAACAAAGACATTCCAAGTTGAGATAATCAAGAGTGTGAGTAAAACCTCACAGAGAAAGAAAAACAGAAGCTAACTCAGGAAAAAGCACATAGTCAATTTGGCTGACATTTATAGAAAGGAAATGAAGCTGGGAATTGGAAAGGTAAAGGTCTTATTTTGAAGGCCCAAAATATGAGGACAAGGAAGTAGTACCATCATTAGTATTATAATAGGGTTCCTGTCATTAGTGAAACCTAGAAGGTAAAGTATAAATGTTGATTTTAGGCAAACATAGCAACTTCATGTTGGATATGCCAATAGGACATCCCAATGGAAATCTTCCTAATGTAGTTAGAGGTATAAGTGTGGAATCACAAACAGAAACCTGCATTCTGGAATCATCTGAATTTTTAACTGAATTATAAATCATATGAATCATTGTTTTTAATAAATAATAACTATAAAACAAAGTCCATGAAAAAAATCAAACAGAGACAAGTATAATTCTATCATAAAGTAGGCAGGAATTACCACTGGTAATCTCCAACTCTGGGTGGTATTACCCAGTATGGTACTGTACCACCTCTACATTTCAACACAGAATTAACAAATAAAATCACTTCAACATTCAAATTAATTTCTATAATTCACAATGGCATTATAAAATGTTTTAAGAACAGTAATTTTTATAGTCTTTTTCATTCACATGCTAAATCCTATTAGATTCACTTAAGAAATCCAACTGTATATTACAGTGACAAAACAAAAGCAAAATATTTCTGAATGCTATAACAGATAACCAAGTTTTAAAAGTTCCTCTCCCATGGACATTCTTCTATTACTACTTTTCCAACCTTTAAGTAAACTGGCAAATCTTTGTCAAATTGATCCAGGAGACAATGCAGTGACACCCTCCTCCCGGAAGACTGTCGAAATCTAAAACAAAACTGGGTATCTCCAAGACAACCTAATGAAAACAAAAATGAAAGAAATTAAGGATAGTGTAGAATAACATTTATCTGACCAGTTTCTTCAAATGTCAGTGCTGACTGGGTCCTTTCAACCATTTTAACCCATTCTAGAGGGGTTAGAAAAGAAAAAGGAGATCTTGATAGTTCAGTGACTTGCTTAAAACCACTTTCGCTGGTTAAGCTATTGTCACTTTTGCTGACAAAGTTATTAGTAAAACATGTATTACCTCCTAAGTCACTTTAGCATTTTTTTCTATTCCATTTTCCCAATATAATTAACTTTTTATCAAAACTGTTTGCATGTAATACTGACTCACACATACAATAATGAGCAAAAAGGTCAAATATAAAAAGACACTTAATGTTTTGAATCCATTCACACAAAGTTTTGATTTTAAAGTGGACAAAACTAAACTATAAAGAAAAGCAACTTATTTCTAGAAAAGTCAAGATAGCAGTTACATTTGGAGGGGGGAGGGAAATAATGTTTGGGAGGGGACATAGGAGACTTCTGAGGTACAGGTAAATTCTATTTCTTTACTTGGTATGTCTTTGGTATTCCACAGTGAAAAGCCTTTTTTAAAAAAGATGTAATGCAGATGACACAGGAAGAACTGAGTTTCAGGAAGAGCCAAAGCAGCAGACTTACTATTTTTATCATTTCAATTAAAAATAAAGTTTTTAAACTTGAATTGTTTTAGCAAATGTCTTAAAGCAAACTTTACCTAAATTGTTATGCAATAATCGCAAAAGATGCAAATATTCTAAAAAATAAGACACATGAAGTAGCTTGTCACTTAAATTCTTCCAGTTACGATATTTAGTATTTAAAAGTAAAAGGTTTATATTAAATATGAAATGTGCTGAAGATTACATTATACACAGAGGTACTTATTTTTTTTAACATGACAGTCTCAAAAAAGAAAACAGAAGCTTGAAATGTTTAAGTTTTTTAAAAAGCAACTCAATATATATATACATATATATACATATATACATAATAATAAAAACTAGTATTTTGGTGGTAAAGGAAAGAAACAAAAGGGAATGGAGAGCAGGTCAATTCAGTTCCTTTATTTGTTAAAGTACATAGGTTAAAAACAAGGAAACACATGCAACTTGAGATAATGGAAAATACTCATAGCATTGTTTTAATTTTCAACAAATTTATGTATTGATGTTCAATTTTCCTCTTGAAAAGAGAAAGGAAGAAAGGAAGGAAGGGAGGGAAGGAGAAAGGGTGGGCGGTAGGCAAGGAAGGAAAGAAAGTGAGGTACTTAGTAAAACAGAGCAGAAACATGCAATGAATTTTTAAAAGAGAGATACATAGTATCTGGAAAATGTGAGAAATGCAGGGGAGTTATGAAGTTCCCACAGCCTTAAATCTCTACCCACCTGGCTCCATTCCCAAATCATATACCTGCTATGAGAACTTTCTAGTGACCTACTGCACCAGCAAGCTGTACAAAATTATCAGGAAGCTACTTTATCAGTTTAAAAAACACTGTTATTTCATGGTGTATATGTACCACATCTTCTTGATCCAGTCATCTATTTTTGGGCATTTGGGTTGTTTCCAAAGCTTAGCTATTGTAAATAGTGCTGCTATAAACATAGGCGTGCAAGTGCCCTTTGGAATTGATGTTTCTGTGTCCTCTGGGTAAATACCTAGGAGTGGAATTGCTGGATCATATGGAAGCTCTATGTTTAGTAGGTCAAGAATATTACTCAGCATTCAAAAAAGATAAACACATGCAATTTGCAGCAACATGGATGGCGCTGGGAGGGATCATGCTCAGTGAAATAAGCCAGAAAGAAAAAGAAAAATACTGGATGGTCTCACTCATAGCAGGAATCTAGAAAACTTAAATAAGGGACCAGGAAAAAGAACAACTATAAGAAAGAAAATATCAAAATCAACAAATAACTATGAACAAGAGACACTCTATTGGGGGTGGAGGGTGGGGAAAGGAGGGTTTGGGGTAAAAATAAGGGGGTTGTAATTGTATGGGGAATATAAAAATAAAATTTAAATTAAAAAAAAGAATTTGAAGCAATAAAATGATTTTAAAAGACAAAAAAAAAAAAAAAAAAAGACTTTTAGCTACAGTATGCTTGTGACCTGAAATAAATGGTCCCCATTTTGTTTCAGGGATCTGTTCCTTCATACACTAAAGGTAACTAAAGAAATATCAGCTCTTTATCTGGCTAGACCTTTGTTCTCCATCCTGACCTCACCATTATGTTGATAGGAAAAGAGACATTACAGATTGACAACCAGATTTTTTTTTACATTTGCCTTGCAGAAATGATGACTAGGAAAGGCAGGGCAAGCCTGATAGCTATGATCTGAGGAAAAGGAAACACAATCAATAGGACCTAGTTCCAGGTCTATCAAAATTTAGCCTTCTAGGGGCCTCCCTGGTGGTGCAGGGATTAAAGTCTCAGAGCTATCAAGCTATTGCCAGCCACTGCCTGAATTCCATCCCCAGCCAAGGAGCTGGCCCACATGGTGCAGCAGACCTCTTCTGTCTCGCCCCCTGTCCCCCTCAGTAGTATATTTCAGTAGATTCGCCTGTTCTGCTCTTTTTTTTTTTAATTAAAAAAAAATTTAGCCTTCTAAAGTAATGTAACCCAAGGTTCTCAATTTCCTTGTCAACAAATATAAGGGATATCATAAAATAATCTCTTAAAGTCCCTTTGAGCAGTCATATTCACTGATTCTAAAGTAAAATTCCACAACTACCCAACAATTGTACTGAATTCCAAGCATCTTACCCAATATATCACTAAGATAAGTCAAGATGTGCAAAGATTCAAAAAAACTTAAAAGCTGGGGCCTCCCTGGTGGCGCAAGGGGTTAAGATGCAACTTATGAAGTTCTCCGCAACGAATGCAGCATGAGTTCGATCCCTGGCCAGGCAGGGAACAACCCACATGACGCAGAAGACATCTCCTGACTTGCCCACTGCTCCCTTCAGCAGTGTATTTCAGTCAGTCTGCCTGTTCTGTTCCCCACTCTGTCTGTGGTGAATCCTCTCACCCTCTACACCTCCGGCCTGTACCCCAGTTCTTGTATGCATAAATAAATAAATCTTTAAAAAAAAAAGTTATGCTATGGGCAGCATAGCTTTCAAATTATTCATGTTAAAAAATGGGAAAATATTTCAAAATATATGATCTTTATATAAACCAAGGTATATAGTAACCTTTACATATATATACATACATATACATATGTAACAGTTTTATACACACACACATCTCTAAAAGGGCAAGTTTATTACATTAAAAAAAAAAAAAAGGAAAGGAAAGGGCACTTGTACAGACATAAGCAGTAGAAAGAGCTGCAAAGGGAAAAGGTTTGTGAAAACAAACACCCGCGTAGTTACAAGCAGGCAGGAGAGCTGCCTCTTTGAAAGAGGAAAATTTAACAAAGATGGGATTAACCGTTTAAAAATGAAGATTAAATGACACTTCTCCAAGAAAAACACACCTTACCATGGTTCTTTTTTTTCAAAGATTTATTTATTCATGCATACAAGAACCAGGGTACAAGCCAGATGTGCAGGAGGGTGAGAGGATTCACGAGAGACAGAACAGGAAACAGAATAGGCAGATTGACTGAAATACACTGCTGAGGGGAGCAGCGGGAGAGACAGGAGAGGTCTGCTGCGCCATGTGAGTATCTACCCCGCTGGCATCGAACCCACGCTGCAGAGGCTGCAGACAGTACCACAGCGCTGCGCTCAACTGCCTGCACACCAGGGAGGCCCACCGTGGTTCTTTATCAAGAACATCACAAGCCCTTCCCCTTGCAAAAGTAGCAAGTATTAACAAAACAGCTAATTTGTTCAGTTAAGACTTCACAACTTTGGAAGCGTTCCATTTCATTAATCTAACACAATCTACTAGCCTAGAAAACAGAATAATCTGACACTTTAAGAAAATTTCTATAACCTTCCCCCACCATCCTTTTGCAAATAACTAAGTTCTTATAAGAAAAATTAAATAGAATGTCAGTTCAAAATTATTTTCATTATTTTGTCACTACTTCAGAAGTGTTTATTCCTCCTTCTAATATATGTATTACTATATTCATTGATTGCTTACTCTGTGCCAGGTACTGTTCTAAATGCTTTAACTATATTAACTCATTTGGTCTTCATGCTTCTCAGATTGGTTCCACTACCATTTCTGTTTATGAGGAGGAAGCCAAAGCAAAGAAAGGATTTATAACCATCACAAGAAAAAAATCCCCTCGTGGCAGATCAAGAATTTAAACCTAGTATGTCTGACTCTGGAGCTGATACTCTTTACCACTACATCATACTGGTTCTTTCAAGTCTAAATGGACTGCACAAATGCTACTTTCCACTTAAAGAAATATCCAGAATAGGGATCTCCATGGAAGCAAAAAGTAGATAAGTGGTTGCTTAAAGCTTGGGGCAGTGGGGGAAGGGGAAGAAAATGGAAGAGTTTCTTTTCAGGTGACAAAATTTTTCTAAAATTGATTGTGATAATAGTTGTATAGGTCTGTGAATATACTTAAAGTCATTGAATTATACACTTTATACAGTAAACTATACCTCAATAAAACTGTTTTAAAATGTTGTTATCAGGGCCTCCCCCATCATGCAACAGTTTCAGTGCAGCGCTGTGGGGCTGTCCGCAGTCTCTGCAGCGCAGGTTCAATTGCTGGCCGGCCATGGAGATACCCACATGGCGCAGCAAACCTCTCCTGTCTCGCCCACTGCTTCCTTCAGCAGTGTTTTCCATCAGTCAGCCTGTTCTGATCCCCACTGTTTCTGGTGAATTCTCTCACCCTCCCGAGCCTCTGGCCTTTACCCCAGTTCTTGTATAAATAGATAAAATCTTAAAAAAAAAAAATGTTATATCACTGCTAACTGAGGCAGAGATCAAAGCTGCTTTCTTTGCTCAAAAATTACCAAAGTTCTTTTGAAAACTACCACTCACATAACAGTTCTTGAACTCACTGATCTCTGTTATTCAAGGAAGGAGCCAGTTCATTTAGTCATGGCTCCTCCTACATAAATGCATGTGGTATATACAATATGTCACAAAAAGAATTCCCATTTTAAGATAATCAGAGGCCCAAGATATTTTTAAACTTGTTTTACCTCTGCCAATCAAACTGAGACTGCAAAGCTAAAGGTAAACAGAGGACACCTTCTAGTAACCACTTGGAAATTTGAGGAAAAAAAAAAAGCTTAAATAGTATTCTTAAAGGGAACAGACAACTTTGAAGATTACTTCTACAGTAGCACCAACACAGTATTCTTAAAGGGAACAGACAACTTTAAAGATTACTTCTACAGTAGCACCAACACAGAGTGGTTCATAGTGCATGGGTCAGTGGTTTAGAGTGGTACAGTAGCAACAACACATAGTGGGTTCAGAGTGCATGAGACTGAGATAAAATATGAGACTTCAGGAGCTAGCCCCAACCCCTGAACTTCATCTCTATGTAGACGTTCTCCCTCTGATAAGAGTAGTTGAGTTGGAATTGCTGAGAAGCAGGACTTTAGACCAGAGTTTCTCAAAGTGTAGTCACAGACTGATGCCAGTACGCAAACTCTTATTACTGATCCAAGATAAAATAAATACCCAATTATTTATTATATTTGAATACATAATATTCAAATATCTAAAAGTATTTTTAAAAATTCTGATTTACACAGCTTTACACTTTAACTTAACTTGCAAATCAAAGAAATGACTAAGAAGAGACTAACTGTATATAAAACTAGAAATAAGGCTATACAACCTTCTTAGCCTTCATACTTATAAAGAAGTAGAAAAGAGAGTGAACCATGAAAACTGGCAATGATCTGAAAGAGAAGAGTGTGCAGTATAGTCCAGTGGGACTCCAATCACATAAAGTCAATTCATCCTGCAATCAATTTAACTCAGCTTACCTTACATCCTGGAAGTCAAATCCAATACTAACTACATTCAGAATTGCATGTCAAATTTTAGAAAGTAAATGAACTGGCTCCTTCCCTTACCTTTCCTCTATCAAATTTCATTAGTAGGCAAAACGTACTAAAAGATTCCAATAACCCCAAGTTAGAAGAATTGTCCTACGAAGATGTCTCAAAGCCATCTTTTTTACCAAGACATCATTTCTCTTTTACATATATCACAAAAACTGAGTTTCAAATGTAATGGACCTCTGGGAGCATTAATAAAAAAATGAAAAATCTTTAATAAATTAAAATGTCAAATCTCCCAAATCAGATTAAACTAAATTAAAAGGATATTAGAAGTAACCACAAAAGGAAAGGGATCTAGGATGTCTTTGCCTCTCAGAGTCCTAACTGTGTGTGGTCTGACATATCCTGGTCATGGTAAACCTAAAAGGTTGTTTTGAAAGTGGAACACAACCAGTAACCTGAAAGATTTCAACAATTAGGACCACACAAGAGAGAGTTTGAAAGAGACCAGCAAAACCAAGTTTAATAATAGCAAACACTTACATGTTGTTTTCTATATTTCAAACACTATTCCACGTACTTCACATATAGCTCACAAAGACTATTGCAAATAATTAATGGCCATGTTTCATAACCAGATTCACCATTTTTTTTGGTTTTGTTTTGTTTTTATTTAATGCTGTGCTTTCACAAAATTCTTGGCAAGCTCCCAAATCCTAAACTGAAAGTAAACCCCAAACACACCAATGTCACAATTTTCAGTCTTTTCACTATTTTAACTAGTTACTGTTCCTTGATTGTTTTATATCATTAACAGTTATTTTAAAGGCTGAATGAACTAAAATCAACAGACATAATAAGGTATCATTAAACTACGTATCAAAAACATGGACTTGTTAGTAAGAAACTGAGTTTGCATTCCAATACACTATTTTAATCAATTTTCATACACTAAGAGTATAATCAGGATTCTTAATATAAAATTCAACAGAAACACCACATGAAAAAATAGTTACCTGAATTTGAATCTGGAAAAGACAAATAGCAAATATTGGTTTTCTGAAAAAGAAAACAAAAGCTATATATGCTGACACACACACATCAGTAAAAACAAACAGAAATACAACAGTAGATTATACAGAACAATATTTTCACTTACTTCTTTATCAGTAAGCTTGGAATGTTGAGGATAAATTACCTGAAAAAAAAAGTTACATTGTGTTAGACAGATATATTGAGTATTTTATAAACATTGGCAGGCACTTCTAGAACACAAGCTGACTAGGGTCAAATGGTGAACTATTTTCTGAAATAGTTCACTACCGCAAAGGAAATCATCAGAAAATGAAAAGCCAACCCACTAAAATGGGATAAAACACATGCAAATCATATATCTGATAAGGGGATAACATCCAAAATATTTGAAGAACTCATACAACTCAATAGTTAAAACAGATTAAAAGACAGGCAGAAGATTTAAATAGACATTTTTGCAAAGACATAAGATGACCAGTAGGTATATGAAAAGATGATCCATATCACTAATCTTCAGAGAAATGTAAATCAAAACCAAAGAGATATCACCTCATAAATGTTAGAATGGCTATTTTTCTAAATGTATGATTTATTGGGTTTTAGAATATCCACAGAGTTGGGCAACCATCTCTACTATCTAATTTCAAAATATTTTTGTCACCCCAAGAAGAAACCCATCAGCATTCATTCCCTTATAGTCCCACTCATTTACTTTCTGTTTCTATGAATTTGCCTACACGATGGTTATTGTTAAAAGAAAAAAGTGTTGGAAAGGACATTGAGAAAATGAAAACTTTATGCACTATTGGTAAGAATGTAAACTGGTGTTGCCATTACAGAAAACAATATGGAAGTTGTTCAAAAAATTAAAAATAGAACTACCCTAAGATCCCACTGCTGGGTATTTATGCAAAGAAGTAAAAACACCAACCGGAAAGGACCGCTGCAATCCCATGTCCACTACAGCATTATTTACAATAGCCAAAATCTAGAAACAATATTAAGTATCCCTTAGTGAATGGATAAAGAAAATGTGGTATGTATGTGTGTGTATACACACACACACACACACACACACACACACACAAATATTATTCAGCCATAAAGAAGAATAAAATCTTGCCATTTGTGACAATATAGATGGACCTTGAGGGCATTATGCTGAGTAAGTCAAACAGAGAAAAGACTAATGCCTTATGATCTCACTTATACATGGGAGTCTTAAAAAAAGAAAAGAAAAGAAAGGACAACCAAGTTCATAGATACAGAAAATAGATTGCTGGTTGCCAGGGGAAGGGTGGGGCAAGGAGTTACAGTGTGGGTCAAAATGTACAGACTTACAATTATAAAGTAAGTCCTAGGGACATAATGTGCAGCATGGTGACTGTGGTTAATCATACAGTATTATCTACTTGAAAGTTGCTAAAAGAATAAGTTTTAAAGGTTCTCATGACAAGAAAACAAAATTTTGTAACTATGTATGGTGACTGATGTTAACTAGACATATTGTGATCATTCCCAATATATACAAAATTTGAATCATTATCTTTTTGCACCTGAAGCTAGTATGTTTTCTGGCAATCATATCTCAAATAAAAGAAAAAGAAATAGCTCACAAACTTTAAAAATGAAACATGGAAAAAGCTGGGAGAACTGAAAAGGATTTACATTAGGTTAAAAAAAATTGAGTCAAAGTTATCTCTAAAAGATTGGTAAAATATTAAATTATCAAGAATAATTTGCCAACTGAATTACCAATAGTTCAAAGTTTACTAAGTCTTTTCTTTTTTTTTTTTTTATAGAGGCATGTTTTTATTTATTTATTTGTTTGTTTGTTTGTTTGTTTTGTTTATACATGCACTGGGTACAGTCAGAAGCGCGGGAGGGTGAGAGAATTCACCAGAGCCAGAGCGGGGAGCAGAGCAGGCAGAAGGACCGAAGCACACTGCTGAGGGGAGCAGCGGGCGGCAGGAGAGGTCTACATGCCATGTGGGACCCTCCTCCAGTGGCCGGAGCAGCAGGGGATCAAACCGGCACCGCAGAGGCAGCGGGCAGGGGAGGCCCTACTAAGTCTTTTCTTAGGAAGTCTAAAATCAAAAGAGAACTTGATCTATTAACTAGAGAGAAAAGAGAGAACAGTACCATAAGTATTTCAAGAAATAATTTTTTTTAAAGATTTTTTTTTTATTTGTTTGTTTGTTTATACAAGCACTGGGTACAGTCAGAAGCACGGGAGGGTGAGAGAATTCACCAGAGCCAGAGCGGGGAGCAGAACAGGCAGACTGAAGAAATACACTGCTGAGGGGAAAGCAGCGGGCACAGGAGAGGACTTTATGCCATATGGGACCAGCGGCCAGGGATTGAACCGGCACTGCAGAGGCTGTGGGCAGCTTCACAGCCCAGCGCTCAACTGCTGTGCCACCAGGGGAGGCCCAAAGAAATAATTTTTAATTGATTTCAAAAGTAATGCAAATCACTAAGTATTTTATTCAAAGAAAAATGGGGGGAAAAAATTCCACAGCTTAAGATATCTAAAAGGCCATGTCCCACCATAAAACCTGTCCTAATTTCCTCCAGCTAATTAGTTAATTTCTTTTAACTAACTGCATTCTCCTAGACAGGTCAGTTTAGTGCCTATGCTGATCACAGCCACCTTCTAAGGGAAAATGCCACAAAGGGCCCTGCAAAGGATGCAAGACCAGGTTAGGAGAGTTACTAGTAAACCCCAGACCCAAGGTACACACTTTACAGACCAATCAACCAACTTCCTGGAAGTGCGTGGAAGTGAAAATTCTACCCAAAAGAATAACTGAACTCAAGTGAGCCAATGCAGATTCTCTTAGGAATGTGAAAAAGAGATGGGATTAGGAATAGGCAGGTTAGTTAGCAGCAGATTAACAAAAAAGGAGAGAAAATAAAACACAGAGTAGCTAAATTACATTAATGGTGGGTTGCTGCTGTGGGGATCCATGATTTTCCAGTTCTGAAAGAACCCACAAATTCTTCGATTACCCAGAGCTAATTACCCAGAATATGAAAATTTTCCATTTCCAGAAATAACGTGTAGTAACATCACATTATAAACAGAATTAAAGTGGCTTCACATATTTCATCTATCTAGTTCTTAAAAACAGATAAGCTGGCAGTGGCATCCCCATTTTACATGTAAGGAAACTAAGGTAAGAAAAAAGATGGGAAGAATATTTAATGAGCATCTTCTGGAGTTTTCAATTTTCACAAATCTATTAATTCCCCCTATCTTTACAGAAAGAGGAATAAGATTACAGTAAAATAATTCTCCCAAAATTTATTTGATTTGTAAGTGTCAGAGCTAAGATTTGAACTTATCAATCGATCTGTTCAAAGTTATACATCTTTGTACAAGATATATACAAAGTTATATAAGATATATACAAACTTAAATATCTAAATAAAGTCATCCTTCCTCTCTACCCATAGATGCAATCACTAACATGCCATGGTATCCCCCTTTTTCCCCAGCCAGGATACAGCAAATAATCCTTCTCAATCCAAGTCAATGGGGAGGCTTGCACAGAGACAGTATTACATAAAGACCACCATTATTCCTGGAATGGAGAATCACACCAACATCAATACTCTCTCTCTACTTCTCTGCTTTGTAGTTCATGTTCTGACCAGTCAGATTTAAACTCTCTCTCTGCAATTTATGAAGGAAAGAACCCGGCCGAGTTTTTCCACCACTCTATCTATTACACACAGAACAGTGTCTGGTTCATGGTAGTCACTAAAAAAAAATCTTTAATCAGTGAATATACCCTCAAATTAGTTCAACAACTCAGTGCCTAATAATAATAATATAAAATTCTTCTTTACCTTTATTATATTTAATAAAGGTAAGAAAATAATTCTTTATTATATTTAATAATAATATAAAATTCTTCTTTAAGGGTAAATGGCTTTAACCTTAGGCCATTTCACCATTTTTTTTTTAAAGTTTAAAACAGAAATAGCAAACATATAACCTAATAGTAAGGCATACTTTTAAGAAGTATCACCAGATCTAAGTTACGCAGGAGTTTGCTGGTCAGAAAATTACTGGTAAATTGAGTTACCTATAATAGCTTAATTTTAGAGCCCAAAACCAGTTTTATGAGGACCCCTCAGAGTTTTATTTCCTGCAATTAAAATATCAATTCAAAAAAAATATACAAAATTTCTATTCTTGTTACATAAAGATATCATAGTAGCTCATTTAGACTTTGATTGGTCTGAGTTAAGACTACTCAGTATTTTATTTTGAAAGAGATAGGAAATTTGGGGAAAAACGCGTATTTTATACAATAGCTATCCAAATATGCAGACTGTACTTAAAGTCAGCAAAATCAGAAAAATGCATATTTAATTTAAAACTTCAATTATATTTTATATTCTTTGTTTAAAAAACAAAAGAATATTAACCACTGTTAAGCATCTTGAACTGCACCAAATCACCACAGTTACTAGAATTATTATCTATGTACATACTTTATTTTATTAAAAAAAAACTTTATAAGTTTGGGCAATCACTGTTAGTTTAGTTAGCTCCTGATACCCACATGGGAATTAACCAACTGTGGATTGGCCCCAGTACCTGGAGACGCCTCTCGGTTGAAGTTTCCTCTCTCCACAGCTCAAGTCCAGGCCTCTCTGTCCCCCAGGCCACTGGCATTCCTGGGAGGCATCAAAGGGGGACAGAGAGCATCAGCTAGTATCACCCTGGTTCTGTTACCAACGTTAAGATCTCTCATATTAAAAGCAATGAGAGAGAGGTTGGCCAGGTGATAAACAGAAAGTTTTATTTGATATAATTATTAAAGCCTAAAAAATGATGTGACAGCATGAATATTTCACATTGATAAGAAAAAATGTGCCTAGAAAAATATTAATATATTAATACATATTAATATACATAGTATATATACTATTATGTATTTAAATAGTATATATAATAGTAAATATACATTTTAAAAATCATATTACACAATGTTTTAAATGGGGCTTTTCTCTTCAGAGGTATTGTTTATCTGTCACTCACCCCTGCATACGCTAACATTCCCACCTCAGTGTAGAAAATAATCATGGAGGAGGAAAATTAGAAATATCAGTTAACTTACTAACTAATAATAACTTAATAGTATCATTTGGACATGAGAAAAATTCATGTCTACCATGTATATCAGTCAAGCATGAATGGGTACCTGCCTGCTGCCATGTGACCCACTGTCTGTCACAATTGCATGAAACTGTACAAAGTATTCCAGGACTGGCAGATACTGCATTTCCCCAGAAACACCTGCCTAGATCTCCAACATAAACATTAAGTCATATACAAAATCATCATAATTTTAAAGGAAATAATCATTTTAAACCCAATGAGAATTATGTCTTCAATGACTAGCCAATAACAAGCATTCCAGAAAGAAGATGGAAACTGTTTACAGTACAGAAAACAAGTTTATATTTTTCAACTGGTTATGTCTCATATAATTTTTTTAGTTGGCTGAAAAATATTTGACATATTAATGCATTATCTCTTTTAAAAGACTTTTTAACATGAAAAATAAATCAATGACACCCCAGTAGCAATGAGCACATCTAAAACCCAAATGTTGATTGTTAAATACTGTTCTGGAATAAAAAGAATCAGGGCTGATTTATGATCAGAGGTGCCTGATCACTGAGCATCCTGTGATGCCAGGAAGAAATTGTTAAAAAAAAAAAAAAAGATAAGGACATGTCTAAAGGACACAGGAGCCAACCTAAGAAAAGCACCAATTTTCAAACCTGGAGCAGTTCAAAAAAATAAGTAACAATAAAATAATCAATAAAATAAGTAACAATAATAGATTATAACACAAATATTAAGTATCCTTAAGTCCACACTGATGGCAGATGGATTAAAAAAAGACAACTCTTCTTTACAAAAGGATTCCAACTAACAAATGTGGAAGGAATAAGGAAAATAAAGAAAATCACTATTAGAACATTAATTACTCTGGTATTTTAAATATGAGTGGAAAGGTCTATTTATGGAAGCTAATATTAGCCCGCAGAGTTTGAATTAGCAATTCAGTGTAAATTGCAATCTCAAAGGCTCTCCAACAAAATATTAATTACAAAGGGAAAATTAGTAATTTTATTGTGGATAAATCTGGCAGACACTATCTTAGCCAAATGATCAAAGTTAAAATCACCAACAATTAGACATTTTAATATCATGTACTTAGAAGGGCACATCATCTCTGGGTATTTTTCCCCAAAATGCATAACCTCAGACTAATTATATAAACACATTAGAAAAACCTAAATTGAGAAACATACTATAGAACATCTGACCAGTATTCTTTCAAAGTGTCAAAGTCATGAAATACTAGAAAAGACTAGGAACTTCCATAGATTGTAAAGGACTATAGAGAAATATGACATTTATATGCAATGTGGGAACCTGGACTGCATTCTGAAATAGAAAAAGGACTTTAGTAGGAAAACTGGTGAAATCAGAATAAACTCGCTTAATAATAATAGCATACCAATGTTATTTTCTTAGTTTTGTTTTACTATTATACTACACTGATATAAATTGTTAACTAAGTCTATTATCTCTAAAGAATGTTTAAAAAAAAGTAACACCTCTACTTCACATCATATACAAAAAGTAACCCAAACTGAATCAAAGACCTAAGTGTAAAAGTTAAAACTATAAAACTCTTAGAACAAAACATAGGAATGTCTATCTTACCACAGATAAGGCAATGGCTTCTTAGGTATGATACAAGAGCAAAAGCAACCAAGGAAAACAAATAAATTGAACTTAATCAAAGTATAAAACTTCTTTGTCAGCATAAAACTGACAAAAAAAGTAAAGACAACCCGAAGAATGGGAGAAAATACCTGCAAATCATATATCTAATATACAAAATATATAAATACTTAAAATTCTACAATAAAAATGGCAAATAACCTAAGTTTTAAATGGGCAAAGGATTTGAGTAGACATTTCTCCAAAAGAGATACACATATGGCAAATTAGCACATGAAAAGAGACTCAACCTCAGTCTTAGAGACATGCGAATAAAATAAGACACCTACTCATGTTTTAAAATACATGATTCCTTTATTATTTAGTATATTATTGGTGAGGCAAAAGGGGATAAAAATTGTTATAATAATTTATCCCATATTAAAAATTTTATAATATCATTCTTTGTTTGCAAATGCTATATTCTTGCCATTGTATCATATAACTTTTTTTTTTAGTATCTGTGTGGGACTTGATTCATTGAATCTGCCATTTGACTATAAGCAAAGAACTTATTCATTCTTTTTTTTTCCAAGTTCATTTGTAGAACAGTATCAAATAAATAAAAATTTTCAATTAAGAAAAGATGCCTCCTCATTACCACTAATATGGTGATCATCAAGAGGATACAGAAGAACAAGCATTGGCAAGGAGAAATTAGAATCCTCATACATTGTTGATGGAAATTTGAAAACGCAGCCATGCTGGGGAAACAGCTTAGTAGTTTCTCAAGAAATTAAACAAATGATCCAGCAATTTCACTCCCAGATACAGAGCCAAGAGAAGTGAAAACATACATTCATACAAAAACCTGTACAAGAATGTACATCATAGCATTATTAATAGTCAAAAAAGTAGAAACTATGCAAATTTCCATCAAATGATAAATAAACAAAATTTGGTATATTCATATAATGATACATAATTCAGTGACAAAAAGAAATGAAGACTGACACATAGTACAGCATGGGTGAATCCTAAAAACATTATACTAACTGGAAGAAGTCAGACATAAAAGGTCACATGTTATGAGTCCATTCATATAAAATGTACAGAGGGGAAAAATCCAGAGACAGAAAGTAGATTAATGATTGCCGGAAGCAAGGGTGAAAAGAGAAATGGCATGGGGTTGTTTTTGAGGTGACGAAAATATTACAGAATTTGATAGTAGTGGAGATCACCACAAAATCCTAAAACTTAAGTTATATACTTTAAAAGAGTAAATTTTATGACATGTGAATATCTGAAGAAAAAAAGAATTATAAGCACAAGCTAATCAATTCAAATCTTAAAAAGGCATGAAATAAAAATTAGTCTCTCTATTGACTTTGAAATCTCCCTCCGCCAATATGACCATTATTAAAGATCTATATATATATATATATATATATATATATCTTTCAAAGAAAAATGTATTTTTATTAACAATAATATTCTCACCTCTGCTTTTTTCACTTGATAGATGATCTCAACAATTCAGTATATAATGTATTCACTAATCCTAATAAATATGCTTTGAATTTTCCTGCTTCCTCCCTTGCTCATGCTTAGGAACTATTTCTTCATTTTTAAAAATGCCTATTAAGTTCTAACAACATATGAAATAAATGATTTCCATTTTCTTTTTCTAATTTCTACTATTTTTAATGAGCACATATATTATTTTTTAACTAGATAAGTTAAAACTTTTAATAATGTAGTCTTTGAGATTCAAATCAATTCATAGCTTCCGCCAGAAATTTTCATTACTTATTCCCTGGTCTTATTTATCTCTTCATTTAAATTGCTGGAGAGTAAGGATTCTTCTGTCTTCATTTTTGGCTAAGATACCTAACGGAATCCTTTGCACATGATAGGTAACTACTGTTATCACACTTCAGCATATGCCCATGATCATGAATTATTTTCTATTTTCAATTAACAGAATACCTACATTCAGAATATTTATGCCATTAACATAGGTCACATTGGTCTAGATATAGGTCTCTTTCTCCTAATATAAGAAGTTGTCTACTGTGCATTTCATAGCACTTTGCCATCTAAAGGACTATAAAATGTCAAAGATATTTCATTCATAACTCACAAAATGATTCTAGAATCCATTATGATATATTAATGGAAAGATAATTGCAATATAACTGCCAATAATTTAGTATTTTTAGCGCAGGTTATCACTGGCACTTCAAATATCTGCTTTGCTTCGGTTTTCTCTAAGTAATAAGTGAAACTGACTTAATTTTTTAACCAGGACAACACAGTATAGTAAAAAAAAATAAGCTCTTGCAGTTAGAATGACTTGGATACCTTGAAACAACTCTTTACAAGTTCTCCTTTTCTACTTAAGCTGTATCTTAGTTTCTGCTGTCTATAATCAAATATACACACACAGGACAAATCTAAACCAGATTCACTAGTAAGGTAGCATATTGGATTTTCATTTGTACAGGGAAAAAAGGTCCCTCACTTAAAAGAAAGTATTGATTCTGTACCTTGACTTCATTTTGCTAATGAGAAAACTAAGGTCTAGAGGCTCATCTTGAGTGGATTACAATGAGGTAGGGGTGTGTGTGTGTGTGTGTGTGTGTGTGTACAGTAGAATACTATGCAGCTATAAAAAGCTGCAAAAACATGGATGGAACTGGAGGAGATACCAGATAACTTTACTCATGTGGAATACAGAGAAACAAAACAAATGGTCAGGCAAAAATAAACTAGAAATTGGGGGGGGGGGCATGCAAAAGAGGGAGGAAGCCGAATAAACTATGGTGAAAGGCTGTTGAATGCACTGATGGTGGGTGTGATGGGTTAACAAGCATGTAAAGAGGTATGATCCTATACCTCTAGGTCATATATAATTGTAAACCAATGCTACCTCAATAAATAAATAAAGTCAAAGCTTAGGACTTTAAATGATCATCAAGTATTAATAATGCAAAAAGCAAATCAAGGTTTCATCTTTAACAAAGTAAAAGTTAAGGGTTCTTTTCACTGTAGATGACAAAGGGAATTTCACTGCTTCCCAACCAGACTTACATAGGTCTTACTGGGTCCAAGGCACTGTTCATATGCTTCACCAATATTAACTTTTCTAATTTTCCCAATGCTATGATCAAGTCAATGTTACCCTGTTACAGAGGATGGATGTGTGGCTCAGACAAGCTATTAATGTGCCCAAAGTGACATGGATTCTAACTTAGGTAGCCTAGCAATAGAGCATGGCTTCTTCATCATTACTCTATATTGTCTTTAGTAAGGATTTAAGCTTACATACGTGGTACTGTTTATGCATTTATTAAAAATATGCAAGTGAGAGGCCTCCCTGGTGGCACAGAAGTTAAAGTCTCAGTACTATCAAGCTATTGCCAGCCACTGTGCTGGCCACTGCAGCATGAGTTCGATCCCTGGCCAGGGAGCTGACCCACATGGTGCAGCAGACGTCTCCTGTCTTGCCCACTGTTCCCCTCAGCAGTGTATTTCAATAGATCCACCTGTTCTGCTCCTCACTCTGTCTCTGGTGAATCCTCTCACGCCCCACACCTATGGCCTACACCCCAGTTCTTGTATGTATAAATAAATCTTTTTTTAAAAAGTCTGCAAATGTTAGTTTCTGTCATGAACAGTCTCATAAGTCTCTCTCAAATCTAAGATGCAATGACCGCCTTTTTCGATAATGTGGGTAGGTCCCAAGATACTACCTTCTAAACTCAGCTTTTACCTATTCTTTAATTAATGTTTCTTTTCGGTCCCCATAGTTGTACATTATAAGAAGTTGAAGTAGAATGTGACTTCTCCAGCACAATTCTACATTCCCTTCTTGTCCCAGTCTAGTCACCCCTGCTATTCATTTTTGGCCTAGGTATGGCTGGAATAGAAAAGTGAAATATATTTTTCAACTGCTTTTCCACATTAACTGCTAATTTGTGTTCCTTTTAAAAATCACAAGGTACATTAGTCTATCTACATTGATAAGGAAAACAAAATTAAGCTGTTTTTCATCTGTGTTTTATCTTTCTTTGGATCCTTTATTAAGAACTTTTCCCCACCTTCAAAAATCAGTGATTTTTAACTTGGGGGCCAAGAAATAGAAAGTCCATAGATGATCCCAAATAGTTCATGGGAGACTATACACAAAATTTTGTATTTATAAGCATTTTCCTAGTGCAGAGTTCATGGGGTTCATATTTTTAAAAAGACCCAGCATGCAAAAAACGTTAGACACTACTAACCTAAAGAAAACATATACCATGAAAAACAAATTCAAGATAAGTTTTTTAATGAGTCACATTTTTGTAGCACATCAATTATCCAAAGTATTTTGTTTAATTGGTCAAAAAAAAAAAAAAACCTCATAAAAAATGTTCCAAATCATGAGAGCCCAAAAGGATGGCCTTTAGTTATTTAAAAATGCAATCAATCAAAACAACACAATCCTAAGCTTTCAAGTTAAATTCTATTTTGCTATTCTACTTTACATGAAACTTTAGTTAACATGTGACTGAAAATGATGTCTTTGGGTACCATCGTTTCTCAGTAAAATAAAAGAATTGCCCACGCATTCACTGGTTCTATCAACATTTACTGAAACCCACCATGTGCCAGACACTGCATTTGGCTCTACTTGCTACTGTGATTAATTCTTGGTTCTCCTCCAAACTGCAGATTCAATATACAAACACATACAAAGCATATAGTTAATATTTGCATGCCCACCAACCAGCACAATATCTTGATCCAAGTGGAAATCAAATGTGTAGTGAACTATATAATGACAAAGCACAGAAAAGACAGGTTGAATACAAAAAAACACTAGCTTCCCATTAAGCCGCCAATTTTTACAGTCAATTCATGACACTAATGTCAGAACATAATGGTTCATGAAAACCCATCATTGCCACCATAACAAATAAAATAAGGTTTTTCTTCGACACATTCTAAAAACAATCTTTTGTGCAACAAAAGAACCCTAAGCAATGTCAAGAACAGTTAAGATCCAAAGGACTTTCAATAAGCACCATGAAGATAAAAAAGTTGACTGATTCACAAGCAAACAATTTTCCCTATATTCACCTTGACAACAGTTCTCAGGCCAATTGTTTCAGAAGCCAAAAAAAAAAAAAAAATCACAGAAAAGAGGAACAAAAGGAGAAAATGCATGCAGACATAAGCATTTGAGCTCAGGATGGGCATAACGCTCTAAAAGTTCCCAAAATGACCAAAACAACCTATAAGTTTGAAAAAGTTGGCTGCGTAAAGTTTGGCTATTCTAGTTCACCATATGCCAGGGCATTGTTCCTGCTTGCAAGTCCCAAACATCCAGACTGCAAGCCTTCTCCGGATGCAGCTAACCATTTTTGTTATTCCCGAGACTCCGGGTTTTGGAAAAAAAAAAAAAAATCAACAAGTATTTAGGAGGGGCCCAGAGAACTTTTCACCCCTAACCGCAGCCCACGATCCTCCCGCGGGAGCTGCCCGTGCACCGCAGCCCTGCGGCCGCTCGGAGGGGCCGACGGCCACGCCCGGATGCGCGGCGGCCAAGGTCCAGCGCGGCCGGCCCTCGGGCCACAGGCTCGGCTGCGGCCACCGGGCGCGGGACCCGGACGCGGCGCGGGGCAACGAGCCGCCCGGCCTCACCTCCACGGCCTGGCCCAGCTCCAGGTCGAAGCCCACCACGCACACGCAGTGCAGCCAGGCCGAGAAACCGTCCCAGCGCAGCAGGCCCCGGTCGCGGCCCTCGTCCTCGTCCTCTGGAGTGGCTCCAGCCACCACCATGGCCGGCACTTGGCTCTCCTCGGCCGCCGCCACCGCCTCGTCCAACGGCCCGCGGGAGCTGGGCCCAGAGCCGGCCGGGCCCGGCAGAGCCATCGGCCGCCCCCTTGCTCTTCGCGCCGCCTCCACCGCGGACCGCGCCGCAGCGAGCGCTCTGTTCTGCGCAGGCGCAGCCCCGGCTGCCGCAGCCGCGGGGGACCGGCCTGGCCGGGGCGGGGCCTCCGCCCACGTGACCCTGGGAGTCCCGCGCCGCGGGGGTTGTCCCGAGCCGCTGCCCGGAGGTGGGGACGTCACTGCAGAATTGTGAAGCCGGCCCTTGCCTCCTGGCCTTCAAACTGCTCAAAGTTGTCGGCACCCTGCTTTGCAGTCTGATGACCCGGGGGGGAATTATTCTTGAAATGACACGATTCATAAACACAAGGCATTATTAAATCTTAGAAACATAGTGGTAACAGTGGCTAACACTTATTGAACACTGTACCGGTTGATGTGCCAACCAAGTACTTTATAAATATAAGCTCCTTCCATTTTCACAGCATAGCTAGTAGGTAGATGTCATCATTTTTTATTTATTTTTTAAAAAGATTTATTTATGCATACAAGAATTGGGGTACAGGCCAGAGTTGTGGGAGGTGAGAGGATTCACCAGAGACAGAGTGGGGAACAGAACAGTCGGAAAGACTGAACTACACTGCTAAGGGGAGCAGCCGGTAAACCAGGAGAGGTCTGCTGCGCCATGTGGGTAGCTGCCTGGCCGGGGGATCGAACTCGGGCTGCAGTGGCTGCAGAGAGCTTCATAGATTGTGTCTTAACGTCTTGCGCCACCCGGGAGGCCCAGATGTCATTATTTTTACAGATAAGGAAACTGAAGTTCTAAGAGGTTTACGTGCAAGCCCCAGAGTATCACAACTCCAATATCAATATCAACTTGTAGTCTACTCAGGAAGTTCTGCTGATGCAGAGATCTGTGCCTTTACTCAGCTTTTCCCTCTCCACTAAGGCCCCTCCCATATTTCTTGACCCCGTTGTCTTTGACTCACTAAACACACACATCTCCAGATCTTTCTGGACAGGTTAGCTTCCACAGCAACCCGGGATCATTCTCTCTTAGCAAGGTTCTAGTGTAACAGGGTGGTTCCCTGCAAAAGGGATGGTTCCAGTTTCCCTGCCCCACCCAAGGACAGGTAGAGCTGAGCAGAGAGGAAAAGAAGCTGGGAAAGAAATTGGGAGAAGGAAGAAAGAAAGATGGAGACCTGGAGGAGGGACATGGAACAAAGGGACATGTTAAGAAGCTGCGCTGGCTTCTTGGTCTTGGACTGGTTGAAACAGATGTGGGTGAGAGACCCGTGGGGCGGTTAACAATGGCAGCTTTTATCTTTTTTTTTTTAATTTTTTTTTATAGAGGCATGTTTTATTTATTTGTTTATTTATACATGCACTGGGTACAGTCAGAAGAGCGGGAGGGCGAGAGAATTCACCAGAGCCAGAGCGGGGAGCAGAGCAGGCAGAAGGACCGAAGTACACTGCTGAGGGGAGCAGCGGGCGGCAGGAGAGGTCTGCGCGCCATGTGGGACCCTCCTCCAGTGGCCGGGGAGCAGCCGGGGATCGAACCAGCGCAGCAGAGGCGGCGGGCAGCTTCGCAACCCAGCGCTCAACCGCTGCGCCACCGGGGAGGCCCGGCAGATTTTATCTTGATTTTGATTTTGCTCCTCCTGTCCAAAACGTGCTGGACTCCTGGCCTTTTCCTACCACCACCAGGAGGTGCCTTAGACATGTAGCAGGCTTTCGGTCCTCACTGGCCCTGCTTTGGGCGAGCTGTGTTTAGTTAAGCATTTACCCACTAGGAGATGAGTAACTTTGGGTACTTGATTTGGAAACTACTTTATCTTTTCTTTCCCTTCTTTTCTCTTTATTGCACACTAAAGCAGGCAGGTTTGGGGCCTCCTGGTGGTGCAAGGGTTAAGATGCAACCCGTGAAGCTATTGGCAGCCACTGCAGCACGAGTTTGATTCCCTGCCAGGGAGCAACCCACATGGCACAGCAGACCTCTCCTGACTCTCCCGCTGCTCCTATCAGCAGTGTACTTTGGTCAATCTGCCTGTTCTGTTCCCCACTCTGTCTCTGGTGAATCCTCTTAACCCGCGCGCCTCTGGCCTGTACCCCAGCTCTTATATGCATAAATAAATAAAATTTTTTTAAAAAGCAGGCAGGTTTGGGTTGCCCAATAACACTCATTATAGCAAGCTTTGTATTCTTAGCATCAGTACTGGTCTGGGCACCCAAGAGACACTTGGTTTCTTGAATTGTTACTGATTATTGGTCCAGCATGATACTACTAAAATTTATTAAACACCCACTTTTTTGCTGAATATGAGTGCAACAGTGAAAGTAAGCAGGAAGCACACAATAATACCTCAATAGAGGGGCCTCCCTGGTGGCACAAGGGGTTAAGATGGAGCACTATGAAGCTACCCACAGCCACTGCAGCACGTTCAAGCCTCAGCCAGGGAGGTGACCCACATGGCTCAGCAGACCTCTCCTGCCTCGCCCACTGCTCCCCTCAGCAGTGTATTTCAGTCAATCTGCCTGTTCTACTCCCCACTCTGTCTCTGGTGAATCCTCTCGACCACCCCATCTCTGGCTTGTACCTCAGCTCTTGTATGCATAAATAAATAAATCTTAAAAAAAATAGAAAAATGAGTAAAAGACAATGGATAGTAGTAATTCAGTATAAACATTTTTTTTAAGGACAGTATTCAGGCTTTTACACATATTATCTTCTCTAATTCCTTCAAGAGCAAAAAATCCCCATTTTACAGATAAGGACCCTGAGGGTCCATGAGGTGATGATGATGTCACAGTCAGTAGTGGCAGAACAAAGATTTAAGCCAAGGTATCAGACTCAGTCTAAGTTCCTAAGCATCTTGCTGAACTGCCTAGTCAAATTCACACCATTTGACAAACACTATCCTCTTCATACCCTCAGGATTTTTTTACTTGTAGTGTTAGCATCCTGTTTTTAAGGAGAGAGTCAAAGCTCAAACATCAAGGATGATATTTGCTAGACAATTTTTAAAGACAAAATATAAACTAGGGATAACATTGAAAGTTAAAGTTCACTTCTTTAACCAAAGCAATCTACTTTTACATGAGTAAAAAACTACATTTTGCATTGAAGTAAATCTGCAATAGGAAAGAACAGCCGCCTTTAGTATGAAAAACAGTATTAGAAGAGTTCTGAACTAGAAGTCAGAAGGCTTAAATTCTACAGCCAGATCCACCCTTGATCATGGAACAATCTACTATAAGATTCATTTTCTGCACTGGTAAAATAGGAATGATAAGCTTACTTATCTCACTGGTTGTCAGGAAGAGACAATCTCTCCCATTTTAGAGGGTGCTACCTTATTAATGATTAATGAACTTTAAACAGAATTAGTCCATAGGAGTGGTTCTTTGACATGTGAACATAGGTCCCTATTCACTGAAGTGCCCTTTCTAATTTTGGATTAAGAGTAATATTGTCGGGCCTCCCTGCTGGCACAAGGGTTAAGATGCAATCTGTTAAGCTATCCACAGCCACTGCAGCACGAGTTCGATCCCTGGCCGACCAGGGAGAAAACCACATGGCGCAGCAGACCTCTCCTGACTCACCCACTGCTCCCCTCAGCAGTGTATTTCAGTCAATCTGCCTGTTCTGTTCCCCACTTTGTCTCTGGTGAATCCTCTGCCCCCCCAATCTCTGGCCTCTACTCCAGCTCTTGTATGCATAAATAAATAAATCATTAAAAAAAGAGTAATATTTTCAAAATATAGTATACAGAAAATAACACTTTAAGACCAGTTTAGTGAGAAAGAAAGCACATCAGAGGCTCCAGAGAATCTTAAAAGTTAAAAGGAAAATAAAAGGTCATATACTCAAGTCTGTTTTGGAAAAAACTAATAAACATGACTTCTCAAACCTTTATACACAAAACATAAAAACCACTAGGGAAAACAGAAAGTTCGTAGGGCTTTTTTTTCTCTACTATCCACAAAAACTTTGACTTTCGGCTATATTGTCAATTTTAGCCTATATTCTGTGGTTAATATTTGCATAGGACATGGGAAAAAAAGTGCTAATGCTTCCTCTTTTCTTGGGGTTCTGTCATTAGAATCTTTGAATCTGAACAGATTAGATTAGGTCATTTTTCCAAACTTCCCATCCTATTTATGATTTTCCAGCTGTCTGTCAGGCAACATTCACTCTAACACTGTTTATTAAGGGAAAGTCACTATTTTGCAAAGCTGCTATTTTCTGATGTTCATAAGGACTAGGAAAAAATCTTCCTCTTATGGACGCAAGATCAGCTACTTTGTAATATACACCCTTGGTCTAAATTGCAGAGATTACACAGGAGAGTCCAACTCTTCTGCACGATAGCCATGTGAGTGTTTGGAAATGGTTGTCCCACATCCTTATGCCTTCCAGTTTTCAGTTCCTCCAACAGTTTCTCAGAGAGGTCGTTTCTCAGCTATTCATCATCCTGTTGCCCAACTTGGGCCTACTCCAACTTGTCAACATCACCATCAAAATGTGGTGCCAGGAGGAAACACCATCCTCCAGGTGTGATCTGACCACTGCAGAG